CAGCTCTTTTTTTTTTTTTTTTTTTTAGAGAGTGTCGTTTATCGGTTTTGCAAATGAACTCTTCATATGTATATATGAATATACATATTAATATTTATTTATATATATATATATATATTTATATAATAATTATTATATTATATTATATAAATGACTCATTAAAGGTAAGAAACACTACATTAAAACACTCGGCATGCTTCAACTACGCAATTTAGATTATAAGGGTTCAGTTGATGAACTAAAGCTAAAACAGCCTACACACTTCAGTCCCACAGTGACAATCTTTCCACATGTATTAACAGTGAGTCACTCTGTCAGAGATGTGCTTTTCTCCCATGGCTCACTGTGCTTTAATTATGGCAGTGGAGGCTGCGGTGTGTGCCTGGGCTGAATTGTTTTGTAACGATGCATTACCTTGGCGCCCTTCTCTCCTTGTCTGCCTTCAGCTCCAAGAGCCCCCGGGGGTCCCTGCGGATACAGAAAAGGATGTTTTATTTGAGATTTTTTCTCTGCTAGGCTATAAAACAAATGGGAAAAAGGTCACGGTCAGACATCACGGTAGCACTTCGGGGATCTTGCTTGAAGGCTATTAATGGGCAAATGGATCCGCTTGAAGGTCTTTTGTGTGAGCATATACTCATTCTGTTATTTGTAAACTTGACTGGGGCTAGTTGTCACATTTTTACTTCAGTGAATATTTCCTTAGAGCATTGGCTATTAAACATTTTCGTTAAAGCAATGGCTATTGAACATGTCTATCATTACATTCAGGAAAAAATTGAAACAATTCATGAAACAGCAAAAATGCTACAGGTAACGTACAAAAAAATATGGATTTCTACTACATAAAATGTGACAGCTTGCCCCAGTCTGACATTTATAAGCTTAAATACCCTTGCACTGGCAACAGATTTCAACTTTCAGTTAAAATCTACTTTCTTTTTATATTTAAAACTTGTTTGAAGTGTTTACATAACAAGATTGTTGGAAAAAATATTTTAGTTGGGTGATAATAAATAACTAATTTAAGATGATATGAAAATATACATTTGTTTATTTGGACTTTTGACCTTATATCTGCTTAACAATTTGCCCGTGTCTCCCCTGTGTGATTTTAATTTAATGAAGAGCAGGAAGAAATCAACTAATGACAGCTGGAAGATTCACCAAATTCAATAATTCCCAAGATAGTTAATAGACTCCCTAGTCTCTTGGGTCCAAGACTGAACAGAGTCCAAGAAATAAACAGAGAGATAATGCGCAACAGAATCTCCATATTTATTTCCAACCGCAGTCGGTAAAATGCTGAGAAAGCAGAACGTCCCTGTGTTTGATGCAAAATAAGCTCTAGCCGGAATTATTGATGCAGGAGACTTAATTCCACGAGAACAGTCTTCCAGCGACCGTCTTCCTCTTGCAGGATTTAAACACCTTTGCTGATGAAATGGAAGTTTCTCTAGCCACAGTCGGTCAGCCATTGCTATCCGCATATGCTGATAGGATGTATAATTTTTCCAGGAAAAGCTCCATCAAGCATATTAGGAAAGCGAGTGGTGTTTTCTCTACATTCTGCATGAATAATGGATGTGTGTGTGCAAAGAGATGCTATAAAGCTTTATGGAGGAATAATGGGATAGCACAGCACTGCTTGGGCTGGCTAATAAAATTCAAGCAGAACTGTTTGCCTGATAGTTATAGTAGCAGTCTTTACCAAACGGTCCATGACCCCTAGAGACTGCAAAGTGGTACTATAGGGGGTCCAGCAGTTATTTACACCTCATATTAACATCCATTCTAGCAGGTCCAGTCAAAAGTAGTACAGTAAATAAATACAAGGTCCAAAATATCAGAAACACGCAACCCCAGCAAAAACTGCCTACTTAGCTGTCAATCAACCATTGCCAGTTACACAAAATAGGTTAACTTCAAGTAAAACTAAGGATAAGAACTTTAAGTTAAATGTTTCATTGTGCTTTCCACATTAAAATGTGATACATTTAAAATACAAGTATATAATGTTGTGCATCAATGACGATCACAAAGGATCTACTGCAAGTTCAGTGTAAATACAGTAAAATTGATATTGTGCACAAGACAAGAGGAAATAATAATATTTCACTTGCCGGTTTGATAGAGTGGCGTGAGAAACACCTCAATACAATCTAAATAGAAAAAGTTAACTTTTTCCATACGGAAAAAAATATGCGTAATTTTCGTGACTGGCGAAACACTATTTTCTGAGAGGCGATGAGGTGCCATTTGGCAGAACAAATTTCTCTTGATGTGGCAGTAGAAGAGGATTTCGAATTCCTGTCCCAAATGTGACAGTTATATTTCCTCTTCCTCTGTAACATCCTTTACACCGCCATCCCGTCATCGCTGTCACTCAAACAGGCCCAGGATCAATATAACGTCTGGACTGATTTTCTTCTTTCATCCTGAGAGAGATGTAGGACTACAGAGGAGGAAATGAGTTCGGGCTCCGATGCCGTTTAAATGCTGTTTTCGATTTCAGTCTGATGATTTAGTATGTGCTATTCATCATCCTGGGAAGGACTTTGTTTTTTTTGGTTTGCCGAGTGTAAATACAGTAAAATTGATATTGTGCACAAGACAAGAGGAAATAATAATATTTCACTTGCCGGTTTGATAGAGTGGCGTGAGAAACACCTCAATACAATCTAAATAGAAAAAGTTAACTTTTTCCATACGGAAAAAAATATGCGTAATTTTCGTGACTGGCGAAACACTATTTTCTGAGAGGCGATGAGGTGCCATTTGGCAGAACAAATTTCTCTTGATGTGGCAGTAGAAGAGGATTTCGAATTCCTGTCCCAAATGTGACAGTTATATTTCCTCTTCCTCTGTAACATCCTTTACACCGCCATCCCGTCATCGCTGTCACTCAAACAGGCCCAGGATCAATATAACGTCTGGACTGATTTTCTTCTTTCATCCTGAGAGAGATGTAGGACTACAGTGGAGGAAATGAGTTCGGGCTCCGATGCCGTTTAAATGCTGTTTTCGATTTCAGTCTGATGATTTAGTATGTGCTATTCATCATCCTGGGAAGGACTTTGTTTTTTCGGTTAGCCATTGAACAGTGCGACCCGGGGGGGAAAACAACCGATCATCTGTGCTGATGAGGATGAGTTTTTAAACAAAAATTGTGATTGTTTTGCACAGGTCAGAATCTTCAATCAATAAATCAATAGCAGTTTTAGTTTATTGTTCCATTCTTAGTGAGAAAAAAGAAACTCTTTTGTCTATTCTTTGGAAAACACAAAATATTGATCATTAAGAAAGCTTGTTTTCCATGACAGGGATGTTCAAAAAACCTGCTAAATGGATGCGGCTTAAAATATAATAGTGATGAAGACTATACATACTCTTTTGCCAGGAGGTCCTGGTGGGCCAGCTTCTCCAGAGGGACCAGGAGGTCCCTAAAACAGAGAGAAGGAAGAAGCTGAATAAAAAACAACACAACTGAACCAGCCTAATGTAGATAATAGAATTTAGGTTTAAAACTAAACTTTTAACAACTAAACTGTCTTTTATAATTTTGTGAAATTAATTGAACACAATTAAGAGACACTGGGTTTTCAAAAGCATGCCAGTGTAGGATGGATACAATTTTGCAAAATTATTCAGCTGTGTGATTGATTTGATTTTAAAAGGATAAACTTCTAATCAGGGAAGGGAAGCAGTATGCATTTTTGTGAATGTTTGCTGCTCAAAACAAACCTCCCCTCATTAAATTTTCATAGAACTGTAGCTTAAAAATGGGCCTCACAATGAGACTCTCAGCGCTAGACGTTCACATTTGTAAACCTGGAGATTCAGATACATTGAATTTAATGGTAAATTAACCAATTTCCCTGCACTAGAAAATCCTAATTACTATAATAAATGTTAACAAGGACTGCAATTTATGGGCTGCCACTGTAGGCTCAGGCAATTATGTCTGACTTCCGCATATCCAAAAGCAGTTTATTAATCTATCTGTACTGTATATATACTTATACTATAGGAAAAAACATATAATTGAAAAAGTATGTTTTTAATAAACTATAGTCAAAGGTATTCCACCTAAATATTGTTGATACTCACAGGTTGACCAGACTCTCCATCCTCTCCTTTTTCTCCTGGGCCTCCATCTATTCCCTGATAATCCACAGTATTTCAGAGACAAATACATTGACAATTGAAAAAATAAGCAAATGCCTTGCTAACAATTTACACTGCAAGACATTTTAATAATTCAAAATCACTGGTAAATACATGAAACAACCATTTTTTAATAATAAAAAATATAATAATAATTTTCAGGACTTTTAGTGATGGATTTTGGCACTTACAGCAACACCTGGCTCACCAGGTGGACCTGGGTCTCCAGGAAAACCAACAGGGCCCTGTAGTAACAGATTGAAAACACAGGTTTAACAGAGTGATTTGTCAGTAACTTAAATGTCCATAACAAATATTAGGACCTACAAAACGAAATGTATCAGTCGGAGGCACAGTAACATTTCAATTGATTTACAAACTTGAATTCATCTTGGACGCATATAGTACTCAAATAATTTCTAATTAGTGTTGGAAATCTCATATTTAATCAGCATAATCCATCTAAAATTACTTTTTTTTCTTACAGTAAGGCTCACCTCATTGCTGTAGTGGCATTTCACTTTTAATGCCTTTCATACATGCACAAGACCTCATGCTTATTGTGTCACACTTACAGGATTACCCTTGGGTCCATCATCTCCAGGGGGTCCTTTGGGACCTGCAGGTCCAGCAGCACCAGAGGGACCAGCTTCACCTTTCTCTCCTCTCTCACCTTTTGGGCCCTGCAGCATATATAACAAAGATGAAAGGGCAGAATAAAGAGCCCTGAGGCACTCCATGAACAAAAGCACACTGAGAACAATGAGTGCAGCCATGCTCTACATTTTGATATAGCAATTCAAACGAGTTAATCAGCCATTCATTTTGGTATTGACAGGCTGTAATTTAGATATTCCAAAAATAACAAAGTTAACTTTTTAGCTTTAATCATCTGATTTTTCCCACTGATGTCCACTTACAATGTTACTCAAAGTTTGTGTGGCGAAAAGGTTTCTGAGCACCAACCAGGCATTTTTAACATGTTAATGGACAAATCATAGTTTAATGTATTTCTGGTGTCAGAAGCTGCTGTTTTTTCAAATTAGTTTCAATAAATGACCATTTTGAGTTACAGTATATTTCCCACGGCACACCTTTATTCTAAAAGTTTGAGGGAAATTTTATTCTTCATGATATAAAGTTAACTGACAACAGTGTGAACAATATTTTATTGCAAACATCACCGTATTAAGCATTTCATTATATGATGAAAGTAAACACCTTTATTGGAATCATTCCTGCAATTTAGCGACTCACTTAGTGTGGCCGCTTAATTTGAGACAATCAATAAAGCCCAAGAAGCTTACAAGAAGTGATTACCTGCACCATCACACAGATCTCTCTCGAAAACTTCACTTACCCCAGGTCCAGGCTCGCCAGGAGGTCCAGGGTTTCCAGCTTCTCCTTGCTCACCCTGTTAAGAATATTGCAAGTTATAAGTTATTACACAACACCATATAATTGTGCTATATAATGTTCCATTTGACTGGAAATCCTGAATTTCTAGCATTCTAGTAGGCAAAATGCAAACAAATGATACTGAAATTAAAGTTGAACTTACATTTTGGAAAATAATGGAAATTCTAAATTTAACTCTAGTCTCTTCAACTTCAGACAATTAGCAGCACTGCCATTTTGTTGCTTTATACGCTATCTTCAATGTTTTTGAAAAATGACTGAAGAGTCTAATGGAATGAATCATAAGTACTATTATCTAAACAAAGCTGCATGTTGTTTTTTGGTTGTTTTCTAGCTGGTCTGGGCTGTAGTGGACATCACGTTTGGCTCCTAATGGATGTAACATCATGGTGACCTGTTACATATTCTAAATTCATCTCCACAGCCAGCCACAGCTATAAGTTATTACACAACACCATATAATTGTGCTATATAATGTTCCATTTGACTGGAAATCCTGAATTTCTAGCATTCTAGTAGGCAAAATGCAAACAAATGATACTGAAATTAAAGTTGAACTTACATTTTGGAAAATAATGGAAATTCTAAATTTAACTCTAGTCTCTTCAACTTCAGACAATTAGCAGCACTGCCATTTTGTTGCTTTATACGCTATCTTCAATGTTTTTGAAAAATGACTGAAGATCGGAGATGTCAAGTAGAGTCTAATGGAATGAATCATAAGTACTATTATCTAAACAAAGCTGCATGTTGTTTTTTGGTTGTTTTCTAGCTGGTCTGGGCTGTAGTGGACATAACGTTTGGCTCCTAATGGATGTAACATCATGGTGACCTGTTACATATTCTAAATTCATCTCCACAGCCAGCCACAGCGTTAAATATTGATGGCCTGTGGGCCTGCCAAATAGCAGTGAAATGGAGGGGGATTATCAGAACTGCGGTAATGTAGGCATTAATCGTTTTGTTATACTAATTCAGACAAAAAGATGACACCAATAATAAATTAATGAAGTCTGTAACAGAGATTTGAAACAGGACCATAGCCACCATATTTTTGGGAATAAACACCAAAGCTGGGAATACTCTTACCTTCTCACCTACAGATCCCATTCCTCCTATTCCACCAGGAGGACCTTGTGGACCCTTCAATAAAAGAAGTCGATTTGTTAAGAGGCATATGTGAAAACCATTAATGCTAGAGCCATTTAGTTAAACAAAGTAGTGTAATTAATGGATTTGCTGATGGGATAAAATGTTCAATGGTGAGAGATGGTCTTACGTCAGCACCGGCAGGACCTTGAGGACCTCTGGGACCAGGTGGGCCAGGGGGACCCTGTGGCGAAACAAGAAGAGAGACAAATGAGACTTTACTAATAGTTGTAGGCTAAAACATAAAAAATAAAATAAAATAAAATGAATAAATTAAATGTGAAAAATGACTAAATAAAATAAAGTCATGTCAAAGGCAGTTCAAAAGATAAATACATTATAATAATTAATAATAGTTCATAATTGGTTAAAACATCTTACCATAGGACCAACGTCTCCATTTTCTCCTTTCTCACCAGATGGTCCAGGAAGACCCTATAAAAAAACAAATGAATATTCTTGTATTATGTGCATTTATAATAACATAAATGTCCATATATTTATATACTATAATACACTGACATCAGCAACCATGCAAAGAAATGTGCAAAGACACACTGTTGCTGTGAGGCACCAAAATGGTCCCTCTGATGAAAAGAGAAGAATAATCTGGCTCAGACGCAGTTACCGGAGGACAGCAATAATGCTTCATTTCAGAATTGGCGGAGAAAGGCAAAAGGGCCATATGGCAAATGGAAGAAACAGAGGCGGAGTACAGGAGTGTTTATTGAGTTTCACTGTCTGTCATCTTGAAATCCAAGAGAGCAGCTAATATCCTTTGTCAGATTTTTAGCTCATGTTCAATGTGAACACTATATTGTTTGTCACCTTTTCATGGGTGGCGAATGGCTAGGGGTGAAAAACGTAGAGGACTTTCAACACTAAGCACACTATGAAAGCTATTTTACCCAGCACAGAAACCCATCTATGCACATTTACCAAATATATTTCCCCAGAGCGGCACTAGTTTCATTTGAACATTTGGGGAAGGACATGTCCCCCATCAAACCACTATTACTCCCTAAAAATGCACCTAGGACTTTTTTAAATCCGGAACATTGTGAGAATAAAACGGGCCACCAAAAAGAAGTTAGATGGCCAGCAGTGTGTTTATTTGACGCTGCTCTCCACTAAGGGGCTAGCTGAAAAATTAATGCCGTTTTTCAGCTTAATTAATGGCCAATTAAATGTTTTACCCAGCAGAAAAGGTGAAACATCCATCAGTGAGAGTAACCAGGGAAGCATTTGTGTTTTAAAGAAGTCCAAAACACTATATCATTAGAGACCTCGAAAAAAACACACCTGCGCTAGCGAATAAACATGTGACCTCGGTATCATATGTGTTTGATCCTTGACATTTACTCCCTAATTGCCTCGACTTTGGGCACTGCTCATTCAAAGGCATTTCTTCGTTAGCCATAACATGTCAGGAGTGAGGACATCTAAAGTCTAATTTTGTCTGATATTTACTCGCCCAATACCCACGTGCCCTGCGGACTTGGCAGACCAACACGTTCTCGCTGACTGGTAAGAGATCTCATCGGGGCAGAAGCCCTTAGTCAGAGACCATTAACATAAACATTCATTGCAGCCTGAAGGGTGTGTGTGCACTGATCTAATGTCTATTGGACCGGGTCACTAAATGCAATTAATGAAATCCAAATGGAAGTGCATTACGCCCAATTAAAACTCAATTGAATCAAATGGCTGAGATTTGGTGGCGTAAGAGGACTATCGTAGCAGTCGAAGTTACTCTATTACAGTGATGACTCGCCTTCAGAGGAATCAGCTAATGGATGGATAGAGAAATAGCAGAACCTTGAGGCTTCAGATCGTAATGTGATCAAATGAAAAGAGAGAGATGAGATGATTAATATAAATCTTCTACAAATACAGTGTTTACCACCAAAACATGACATGACTGCTGATTTGTTTGGTTCACAACACAACACGGCAACTAGACTATATTCATTGACAGTGCAAAAAATTAAAATAAAAAATATTATAAATTCATCTTTGCTGTCATAATAAAGAATACATTTATTTCAAATTATAATAATATTGCTGTATTTTAATAAAATAAATGCGGCCTTGATGAACTCTTTGAAAAACATTAAAAATGTTTTTATATATATTCTTTTAACACAGGGAGAACTCATACTCATACTCTCCCATTAAAAAAAATGAAAAGAAAAATATAAATAAAAATTAATATGATGTCTGAACTGTTTGTTTCAATTGGTCAAAAATGCTGTCAATCAATAATGGCAACAACAAATTGTGCAAATATATATTTGAATATATTTAAATTGCCTTTGATGAGACAAATGTGAGAACTGCTATATACTACTAGCCTCTAGTTAAAATTACTGTGCAAACACTTTGGGACTGATATTGCACAAAACCTTTTCTACTTTTAATAAATTCTCTAATTAGTAGCATAATTAAATTGGTAGTGATTATACCACCAGCAAACCAACTGGTTTTAAACTGTTAATGCAATGGACCCTGCTCTTGCATGTCTGTACTGAGTCTGTACTTATTCACAGGGCGATTCCATCAGAGGGGGAATCAAAAGGAAATCAATTCACATCTCAAACACCTCCCAATACATCTACTGCCCAGGGCCACCAGTTAATGCTGTTTGTGCAGCATTAGTCTGAGTTACCATGGGACTGGGGATTCAGTGCTACACAAAATAAAAATGTTAGCTCATATGTGGGCCGTCATTGGCACAGCGGCACTCACCTGCAGACCGATGGGACCAGGAGGTCCAGTGAAGCCTCGGGATCCTTCATCTCCCTTCTGTCCAAACATACCCTGCTGTCCACGAGGACCTGGTTCACCATCACCTCCCTGAAAAAGACATTAGTCAAAGCTGCAATGCATTTCATTATATGCAAAACGTCACAAATAATATATTTTTGTATGTGTAGTCAAGACGTACAGCAGGTCCAGGAGCTCCAATAGTTCCCTGAAGACCAGGTGGACCTGGTGGACCCTAGTGGACACAATGAAGAACATAATCAAAACAACAGAGCTGTACAAAGGGATGGTAATCATTCAAATACTGGCTCTTTTTGTACTTTTGAGGAAATTATTTTACTTTTAGTTAGTTCATTTCAAGTTGGACATGATAGTAAGTGTGATTCAGTGAGTAAGTCAAGAACTGCATAAACTGATTCAGCGATTGACAATTTCAATACGTAATTCATGATTCATGATTGTTTTAGATCAATTAATTAAAAGAACCAGTTCGTATGACTCATTAAATTGTGAATCAGACTATACTGGTTGTGCTGTATGTTTGTTGCTGCATGCAACCAGCAAGGACAACACAAAATATTTTTTTTTCTCCGGATTTAATCATTGGAAGAACCTTAAAAAAAATCATTCAGTCATTGCATTTTAAGTAAAACTGATTCTGAATGCAAATCGTACTGTGTGTATAAATAAGGATTTTACAATTGAATTTACTCACCTGTTCGCCTTTGTCAGCTTTGCTTCCTTTCTGGCCTGGTTCTCCCACTTCTCCCTGAAAAGGTTTTAAAATCAGTCATGCAATATCCATTTTGCCTTTTTAAAACTATATAACGCATAAATCACACACCGGTGGATATAACTGAAAGAAGCTCCATGTCAAAGTAAACCATTTACTGTGCAGTAAAAGATATGACATTGCCGTCAACCTGCATGGAGTTTTACTGTAAATGAAATGCTAAATATTGTCTCTGAACTAACAGACATGGCCAGCTAAAGTATTTCTACAACATATTCTTGGCATGTAAGCCCATGAAGCTTGTTAGAGGATACTGATGGAGAGACAACGTTTATGGTACCCTGTGCTAATTTGATTATAGGCCGCCTTTGCTGATGATGATGGATTGGCGGCAGCAGAGAGCGACTGAGAGATAGGCGTGCATTTCAGATGGCCGTGCAGTGTTTGTGATGATGAAGAATGATCACTGTCCATAAAGTGAGGGGAGAGATGGAAAATGAGAGGAATTCTGGGAAGAGATGTGAAATATACTATAGTGATAGGAGAGACATAATTTTCTTGTTTTCTAGCACAATATTTAAAAAGTGTTGTTCTTGAATAAAGTATATTTTTCTTATCTAACTGGCAAAGTTTTTTAAAGGACAAAGTGAAGACATTTTAGTGAGATTTATGCTTGAAAACTACTTGCTAATAGAATAAGATATATTTTCTGAAACCTCTTTTATTTGACTAATTTTACTTAGATTTTTTAGCAGTGTACACCTGTTAATGTAGCTTTAGAAGTTGACAGAAAACTTCAATATGAAAGTTAAGATGAAGTGAAATCCGTTACAGTCCTGTTTTAGTGACTGTGAACTGTCTTCAGGAACTGACGCATCAAGAAAAGCATTGTATTAATATATCTATGGTAATGTAATGTGTCCCCTCTCTTCTGTCTAAACATATTAATGTAAATCAAAATTGCAATTAACCTTGTCACCATCTTCTCCAGGTGGACCCTGAGGTCCTGCTGGACCTGGCAGACCAACTGGACCTTGTACTCCATCCCGACCGGCTGGACCTGGAGGACCTCTCTCTCCCTGAACAAAGAAATAAAATGATTTTCCAGCTTGTGCCAAGTCACATTCTGAATCATAACATTTTTTTTTTACATTTACTGAAAAAATATAAGTGATGCTAAGGTGGAGGCTATGCAGTTGCTATGCTGTAAGAAACCTTAAACTATTCACTGTCACTCATAAATGTATTATGTAATGTAAGAAACAAATTGATCATCTTTATATCCAATCAGCACAATTACCGGTGCACCCTTCTCTCCAGCTGGTCCCGGGGGTCCCTGAGGTCCAGTACGTCCGGACAGGCCAATGGGGCCAGCAGGTCCTGCTGCTCCTCTCTCACCAGGGGAACCCTATGACAACGGGTGATTTTAACATATTTGACACATAGATACTCCATAGACATATACATGCTACACGAGTCTAATTTATTGAAGCATGTAGACCACATTAATATGTTTCTAAAGATCTGGCGTACCTCACTTATTAGTCATGTATAAAGGATTAAACCAGTTTCTCCCAAGCGACCACCAAACCACGTCCTATTAAGGATGTATTTTTAGCCTTGAAAATCCAAATGAGGAGCTTTTGCTTTTGGATGATTTTGCTCTAGTCCCAAGACATTTCAGACAATTTTACGACTGTCCCCCCCCCCAGAGATACACCACTTTGTAAAGGTACAGAATGTCTTGCTGAAAAATTTCAACCCTGTCAAAATTACTCCAGACCAGCCGAACATGAAGGGCTGTGTGTAAAACTATGCTGAGGGACTAGATGTTTACTGTATGTCTGTGTTGATGTTAGGGGGTTGCTATGTGTTAATATGTTTTTATACAAATGTTAGGCTGTTGCTATGCAGCTGCCAAAGAGTTCTCAGTGTTTTTTTAACATGCTGCTTTGCAGTTGCTAAGGTGTTCCGATTGTTTTTGATGTTGTTATGCTGATGTTAAGGTGTTGCTGTGCAGTTACTAAGGTGTTCCGATTGTTTTTGATGTTGTTATATGCTGATGTTAAAGTGTTGCTGTGCAGTTACTAAGGTGTTCCGATTGTTTTTGATGTTGTTATGCTGATGTTAAGGTGTTGCTGTGCAGTTACTAAGGTGTTCGATTGTTTTTGATGTTGTTATGCTGATGTTAAGGTGTTGCTGTGCAGTTACTAAGGTGTTCGATTGTTTTTGATGTTGTTATATGCTGATGTTAAGGTGTTGCTGTGCAGTTACTAAGGTGTTCTGATTGTTTTTGATGTTGGTATGATGATGGTAAGGTGTTGCTGTGCAGTTACTAAGGTGTTCCGATTGTTTTTGATGTTGTTATATGCTGATGTTAAGGTGTTGCTGTGCAGTTACTAAGGTGTTCTGATTGTTTTTGATGTTGTTATGCTGATGTTAAGGTGTTGCTGTGCAGTTACTAAGGTGTTCCGACTGTTTTTGATGTTGTTATATGCTGATGTTAAGGTGTTGCTGTGCAGTTACTAAGGTGTTTTGATTGTTTTCGATGTCATTATGCTGATGTGAGAGTGTTGCTATGCAGTTGCTAAGGTATTCAGGGTGTTTTTAACATGTTGCTATGTGGATGTTAGGATGTTGCTATGCAGTTGCTAAGGTATTCTGATTGTTTTTAACATTGCTAAGTTGTTGTTAGGACTTTGCTATGTGGTTGATAAGGTGTCCTGAGTGTTTTAACAAGTCACTATGTAAATGTTAGGATGTTGCCATGAAGTTGCTAAGGTTATGGCATTTAACACATGCTAATGTTAAAGTGTTGCTATGTGTTTTTAACTACTGTTACTATGCAGATGCTAGGCTGTTGCTAGGCAGTTACTAAGGTGTTCTGAGTGTTTTTATTGTTGTTATGTAGATTTTATAGTGTTGCTACACATTGGCTAATGTGTTATGAGTGTTTTTAATATGTTACAATACAGATATAAGGCCATTGCTATGCAGTTGCTAAGGAGTTTTCTGTGTTTTTAACATATTACTTTGCAAATATTAGGCTGTTGCCATGCAGTTGCTAAGGTGTTCTGATGTTTTTTATGTTATTATGCTAATGTTTGGGTGTTGCTACTGCATGCTTTTTTTAACATGTTACTATGCAGATTTTAGGCTGTTGCTATGTAGTTGCTAAGGAGCTCACAGTGTTTTTAACTCTGTATTGTTGCTGTGTGGATGTTATGAGGTTACTATGCAGTTGCTAAGGCATTCTTTATGTTTTTAACATGTTACTATTTTATAGTGATGTTAAGGCTTTGATACAGTATGTGGTTGCTAAGGACTTCTGAGTGTTTTTAACATGTTACTGTTAGGCTGTTGCCATGCAGTTGCTGAGGTGTATTGATGGTTTTTAACGTTATTATGCTAAAGCAAAGACTATAGAATACCCAAGACATGTCACTCGTATAGTTTTAAATGGGGAAAAATGCAACGCTCAATATGGCCGCTCAATCGCAGGAAGCCCCGCCTTCTGAATGAAAGAGCCAATTGCTAATCGGTAAAGTCAGCATGTCACTGCAGCTGCCGTTAGAAGTCCCGGTTACTATAGAAGCAGTCAGCGCTCTGAGACGTGCGCTTAGGACTGCGCATGCGCACTGGCTGATCTTGCCTGAAAAATAAGCTTTTTATAATGCTATTTGAGGAAAAGAAACAACATTTATGACACAGTTGTTGTCAGATTTCTTTGGTGATTTCAAATATAAAATTTAATCGTAAGCTTAGTGAACAGTTTTGTAGAATTTGATGTTTCCCCATTCAAAGAGATAGGAGTTGCACTTGCATGCCCGAGAGGCGTTTCAAAGATGGCCACCGAGTGACATAACTTGTCTTAAAGAGACTTTGGCTAAAGTCAGGGTGTTGCTATTTGTTTTTAACATGTTGCTATGTAGGTGCTAAGGAGTTCTCAGGTTTTTTACATGTTGCTATGTGGATGTTAGGATGTTGCTATGTGGTTGCTAAGGTGTTCTGAGTGTTATTGTCTGATTTCGCACTTATTTAAAAATCATAAGTCCCACAAATTTCCTCAGCAAGCTGATAAATTTGTGGTATCATATCATATCCATGGTACAAACCATGCGGGACAGTTTATGCACCAAAGTGCACCTGATAGTGATCTTTTTTTTTGCAAGCACTACTAATTAAATCATTGCACAGGGTCTTCAACACATGTGGATGAAACTGACCAAACCTGTGTAATGTGTTAGGACAAGTGCAAAAAGCTTCTATAGAACAGAGTGTGGATGATCACATTGGCACAAGCTGTTGAAAGAACAAAAAACTTCCTGTTGGGTGCCAAATCTGCTCCTACTAGTGGGTGAACATGCCCTTAGACTTCTTATCTCTCTTTCTAAGCATGTTTAATTTGTAGACCCCTGCATCTTCATACAAATGCAAATGTATCCTTTATTGGACTGACACAGCTGAATGTAAAACTCCTCAATTAATTTTCATCCATCCATTCTAATCTGGCAGCACACTGTCAAGGCCTGAAAAAGAGCAATTATAGGGTGACAATACTTATCTTTTTTTTCCTTAAGAGAAATGAATCAGTGAAGAAAAGAATGTGGTTTTAATTCGAGAAACTCTTAAGGACATTCAGCGTCATGCCCGTCACATAAAATCTAATGAAACAGCTATGGTATAAAATGTCAAGAGGAGGTAATTACAAACCAGTGATGTGAATTTATCTCGAGACACTCTGGTGGTCACCATCACACCCTCTAGTGTTAACTAATGCCACTGCATGTGGGCACTGTTTGCTTCGGTATCTCTCGTTTATTGAGAGTATGAATCAGCGGTCCACTCTTCTTTGTTTGTGCATGTGTTCGGTAGTGAAGAACACTTTTAAAATCCTTAATGGTGTTTTTGATCTTCCTGACCACTCCCTCAACCCTCTCAGACTCCTAAATATTGAATGTTGCTTTTGGGAGAATGAGCTACTCGCAATGAATGATGGAAAACCATGGAAACAGAGTACTTACAACAGGACCAGGGGGGCCCTGAGGGCCCTCGGCTCCTTTCAAACCAGGTGAACCCTGCAGAAGAACAAAATATGAGTGAGTAAATAGGCCTAACAAGAAGGTTCATATCAAAGTGTCAGAATTCATAATTTTCTCTTGAGCATTATCCAACACGTCATCTGTTGATGCTCAAAGCCAGATAAAAACATGTACTGTAGGTTTTAGTGCACTGTGCCTGAGCAAACAAATCTACCTACACAATATGATCAACACATAATGGAGATTTCATATTGAAAGCTTTTTAGAATCCACACTGAAAGTGTTTGTGGTTGTGCTTTTTCAAACTTCGGTTCTTTCATGTGTTGTGACCAGTCATGATGTATGAAAACCAATGGTGTTTGCCTACATTATTGACATTAAACCTAGTTTTAGGCATCTCTTGTGCTAAGTTTGAATCTATGGAAGTGTGAAAGATATTTGAGAACTGCAGCTTCAGTTTCAGACTTTTTCTTAAGCTATTGTATGGCTTCAGAAAACTTGGAATGGAATGTAGTGCAAACGTGATATTGTTTTGAAATAATTCTCCTTAGATATTACATGAAACAAAGAAAGAGTTTGGAACGACGTGAGGGTAAAGGATTTTTGAGATGACAAAATGTATATCTATCATTTTTAGAAGAACTATTACTTTCAGCCCATGATCATAATTACTCTATTTCTGCTCTTTTTCTTGCTCATAAACTTAACTGCTGCAAATATTACCTGGAACACAAAATCCTAAAAGGATAATGCTCTAATGAATTCCTATGAACTCCTATTCTGCAATTTCATGAATAAATCCAGAGATATGGTGGTCTCAAGCAGCTCTCAGATTTCACCAGCAGTATTGTAAGCTTTTTATTAAAGGGAATAGCAAACCAAAAAATGAAAATACTTACCCTCATGTTGCTAAAAACCCTCACTTTGAAGGAACCTTTACAAAGATTTGCTGTCAGGTCCCAAAAAGGGCAAAAAAGAACCTTAAAGCACTATAAACTGTCCATATGTATTCTTTGTTCCAAATTCTCCATCTTCTGAAGTCATACCAATGATATTTTATGTTATTCACATCCAACCTGTACCATGGACACCTTATTTGGTGTTTGTTTATGATTATGACAAATTTCAATCTGTTCCTCACTTGAAATATAGTGAAATATTGTATAAGTTGTATGGACCCCTTTTTATGGCACTTTTTGTACTTTTTGGCGCTTGTATTGTTAACTAGAAAAATTTACATACTGGGTTGTAATAACATGAGTGTGAATAACTAATGACAGAGTTTTAAATTTTTGGGTGAACTACTGAAAGTAAGCAAAATTATGTAATGAAGAAATTATGATTTTAGAACTTATACCCATGTCATAGACTGTTGAGTCCTACTGCTTCTAAACTGATTTTTATACTTGCACAAACTACAGTGCAAACCGACGGCGGGTTTGGTCTCTTCTGAATGTGGCTTTCATTAATCTCCCATATGAGAGAGAAATCCACAGAACTCGACTCGACTCGACAGCCTGCTGGTTCTGCCTCTACCCGATTGATATTTACTGGCCCCTTTTTCTCTCACAGGACAGTTGTCAACTGGGGCACAGTAAAAATCAAAGAGCTGACAAAAGCTCTCATGTGTATATGTGAGGAGATTTGTAAATCCATGTAGAGTAAAATAACTTTTGGTCCCATAAACTATGCTTATATAATATGAAACTAATATAACATATCATGTAGTTGTTTCATGAACATCTTTATAGGTGCATCTGTGTGTGTGTGTCAGGTCTCATGGAGGTGCCATTGTGTTTTGTGAGTGAGGGCTTGAGATTGCCTCTCTAAAGGGCAGACACACACGGTGGTCTCAGTAATGACTGTTGCTGTCCTAAGAGAGAGGAAAAAATTGCCCCAGTAGAAAACAATCATGCAGTGCATGGAGAGCCAGTCTCTGCCACTGACCTTGAGATCAGACATCAACAATGAACAAACAACCTCGTCTCCCAAAATCTAATTGGCAACATTTTCAATTAAATCATTCTCTGGGCAGATAATACATATGAAAGACAACAACCCAGCCTCTTCAAAAGGTGTGAAAGGGAAAAACGTTAACGCAGTCAAATTAGCATAATGTATCTCCGCATTAAACAATACAAAGTTACCTTTTTTAGAGGTTATATGCCCTATTAAAGTCTTTGTGGAGTATATTGAAGTCCAATTCTGTGGATGTAATGAGCCAGGGCTGCTGTCTAACTCTCTGTCTACCTCTAAGATTAGGAGGATTTATTGCAGTGATTTATTCACGATGGGAGCATGATCTTACCGTCACTCCAGGAAGACCTCTCTCTCCTGGGAACCCTCTCAGTCCCGGAGGACCGTCTTTTCCTGGACTGCCCGGAGGACCTGGATCTCCCTGTGGACAGACAGTTGGCAATTGAATACTTTATTGAACTTCAAATATAATGAACAGAAAATTTACACAAAATGAATTCTCAGCTGATGCTAATGAGCTCTGAACTGATGAAATGAGCCTGAATTATTGCTAGCTTCAAATTCCACCGTCACCAGCGCTGGCAGGTCGATTCAATTAATATCTCTGACTCCACAGCATGATTAAAACTGAAGTGTTTAAATTCTATATAATGAAACATGTTTTCAAACAGATTTTTCGAACAATCCATCTATCTTAAATTGGTCTGACAAACAGAAACAAAAATTTGCAGGCCCAAGAACGTTTTTAGACCACAATTTTGGGGGACTCAAGCTGGAATAGGAACCTGGAAGGATTTTATGAAAAGAACATTTAAACACATTCAATATGTTAATATGTCCAACTGATGTTAATTACGCTAATTACAACTGAAAGACAACATTTTGAACACTACCATTCAAATGTTGGCATTAAATTGATTTTTTTTAATGTTCTTGGTTCTTATGCTCAGCAAGTCTGCATTTCTTCAATCAAAAACAGCACAAATGATTGAACGATACATTATTGGTAGCTCCAAATAAATTGTTGTTCATAGAGTTTTAGACACAGTTAATATCTCAGCACAATTAAAACAAGCCTGCCTAAAACAAGTATTAAGAATACTAAAGTGTCTTGAGGGGCCAACAAGTGCCTCCGAACAGTAAACTGCAATCAGACAGGCCTGCCTGAGGTGCTCAAGAGTGAATTTTGAGATTTAAAATTGCTAGAAAGCTTAACACTGTTTTAGCCATTTGAAAGACAACCTCCACTTGACCTCAGTGTCTCTGCATTTTGATTGGGCCACTGAAAGTGTCATATTCAGCTAATAAGACGAGGAAACAAATGAGCTAAATCAGGAAAATTACTGCAGAAAGACCGTGAGTCTGACCGCTCAGATTGCGGCAGCATACTCTGCCTCCGGGGTGTTCACTCACATCTGACAGCCAATCTGAAGTGGGCCGACCAAGCTGATTAAAGTGTCTCCATTTAGGAGTGGCAGACATTGAAACCGAGACAGGAAGGTTGGACACTCAGAGAAATTCAGTTCAGCTTTTAAAAGACTCGTCTACTAACAATTTAGACTCTATTTAGAAAGGGAATTCAGCAATTCTCCACAGTACGGACGTTATACACTTATACACTATATACACTTGGACAGAACAAGTTGTTGGTCAACAAATTGATCTCCACTGACTCTTTTGTCCTAAAGAAATAATAACTGGGGGTCATAATCAATCATTTTTAGTTCTGTTTGACCTTGCCTGCTGGGCACTTTTTGTTTTTGTCGTTACATTATGTAGTTTTCCAATAAGAAAGGTTTGAAATTTAGCTTAACTATTGATAACAAGACAATCAATTATTTTCTGTTTGTACTTGCCCTCCATATATTCTATTTGGCTGAAAACATGAACCTCATTCACCTTTGCACCTTCTTTTCCACCAGCACCTGGAAGACCTTGCTCTCCGGGGGGTCCAGGGGGTCCAGGATGTCCTCTCTCACCAATAGGGCCGGTTTCTCCTGTTGGACCCTTTCAAGCCATTATAGACATATTTGTGAGATTAATAGGCAAATCCTTGTGCTTATCTCAAATAATATGTATAATATGCAAAAACATAAACACCTACCTGTGGTCCAACAACACCTCCAGGTCCTGGTGGGCCAGTTTTGCCTTGGAAACCCTAGGGGGGAAAAAATCACTTACTGCCTGAAAAGCAACCATCTATTGGTGGACCCAATAGGATTTTATATGACACAATTTCACAGGCAAAATGTAGCTGCAGTAATTCACACTAAGTTTATTTCCTACAGGGTCATGTCATTAATAAAGCCTCTGCCTGGTTCAGATAGAACCTCCATAACTCCTTCAGATTTACACATAACTCAGAGGAAGTGGGCTCATTCAGTCCCTGAACACACTCTTGTTGGATGGATCAGTGATGTCTGCTATAGGTTATCGCTTAGGCTATTTAGGTGATCTATACATGTGAGTGATCGGAAACACTTACAGTCTCTCCCCGTTGGCCAGGGTGACCGGGCAGCCCATCCTTTCCAGGTGGTCCCTAAAACACAGAACAAGATTAAATATATTGTAAATGTCACATTTGTCAGTATCTAAAACAGTATAGATAAACAGGTACTTACAGGAGGGCCCTTTGGTCCTGAAAAACCAACGGGACCCTGAGGCCCTTGAGGTCCCTGGAAAAGACAGGAAAAAAATTGGTGAAAAGTCTGCTGTTTTATGTCAAAATAAGGTAACAATGCAGTGCAAATTGTTTAATGGCAATATCAGAATCTGAAATGTGAACTAGAAGAAGTGAATCTTTATCTGACCTGATCTTTTGTCTTATAATCTCAATAAAAGTCCAAGGAAGGAAGCAGAATTTATAAATACTCACGATAACAACATTTTAATAAAACATTACAAGCTGAAACTAAGCGCAATGTAGGTAAAGTCAACAGGTTTTCGAAATGCTTAAAATAAATCCTTCAGATTCCAACTGAGAAATGGAATAAATAAACAGGAAAACACTGACAAATATAGGAAGAAACGAGAACAGGATTTCACAGCAGAAATAAACAGCGCAACATTAGATTTTGAGTGATGTGAGCCTTGGACAACAGCCTTCCAGTGGTCTAATGCTCAAGAGCTCTTCATAAATCTATAATAGCTTCCAGACGAAAACACAGGTCTGGTGGTAAGTCCTCTTATCTGGAGTACACCCACATGCTGAGCTAATCCTCACTGCGCTTCCTGCAAAAGCACCCTCTCTGAGTGCCTCAAGCCGTACACCATCTCACTGTAGATGGTATGATGGGATAAAAATGTTTGCTGCAATGCATTCTGGGTGGCACTTACTCTCTCGCCGGGTGGGCCAGGTGGACCGTCGTTGCCCGCTGTGCCCTGTTGGATAATGAGAGAGGAAAACATAAGAACTGTGCAACAGAAGTGATTGACAAAATCAAAGTCTGAGGGAAGTAGTACCTTAGGGCCTGACTTTCCTGTTGGACCTCTGGCACCGCGTGCACCACGGGGGCCCTTAAAAATCAGCATGTTTAGGGCTTGGTGACTTGCATAATTAAATAAAGCAAAATTAAGTCAAAATGGAAGGGGGAAGTGCTGAAGCAGTACATACCGTCGGACCTCTTTGACCCCTTGGACCGGGTTTCCCTGCAACTCCCTTTGAAAAGAAAGAAGAAAAATGAGTGTGGTAAAAATTGAGGGTGAATTCAATAGCTACACAAAGCAAATCCAATCGTTGCAGTTGCTGCCGTTCTTTTTGCCAAGATGAGATGGCAGTGTGTATGGGGGAAAACAAGCATTGGATACCTTCCCCTAGGATTTCTGGGAGCCATGGCAATATTTGTTTCAGATAGCAGCTAACCTGACATTTAGTTATGAATAATCATAAACGTTTAGGGCAAAGTTGCTTTTGCTAATAGGTTTCCCATGAACAACATTAGACAAACTCAAGGTTTGTTTACAAGTGAGAGTGATTTCCATTGAATTATTCGGTGAGGGTCTCTCAAGGGAAATTTTCGATAAGTTTTCCTTAGTGATAGTCAGCACAATTGACCCTTTTCATGCAACATAGGTGTTTGAGGAGTGTGATGTACAGTATGCAGAGCAATAGCGCTTTTTGCTTCATGATTATTCTGGATTTCAGTCAGGATGTGTTGTAATTTCCATCTACTGTGAGGAATTACTGAATTTCTACTAGTTAGGCAAATATATTAGTTAAGAAATCACTTAACTTGCATCTAGCAAGGCATCTGTACTGGTAGGCTATTTGTATTGGTACAGGTATCACTCTTATTGGTGCTTTACCCTTTCAAAAATTAACCATGGTTTTATTATAGTAAAAGTGTAGTAACCATGTTTTTTTGACGTATTGATTAGAATTTGTATAACTATATATATGTATATATATAAATATTTTTACTACAAATACCATGGTTAAACTATGGTTAGTGTAGCAAAACCATGTACTTGTCTACTATACAACTATAGTAACTATGTTTTTGTTTTTTGTAAAACATCCTGCTAACTCTCTAAATGAGGTAATTTTGGTGATGCAACTAATAGCTAATAAAAGTAAGCTAAATAAAATGTAATTTAAAAACAGAATTAGCTTATGTGATAGTAGGCTGATCAACCTGCTACGCTAGTACACTGAATGGTAGCTTGAAAAAGGAAAGCTAACTAAACAACAACAACAACAACAAGAATAATGTTGAATTCAATCTTCTTTGGTAATATACTATTAAATATAACAAAGCGATTTTGTAACAAAGTGATCTCTAATCAGGCACTGGATAATGTCAATCAGGAATCAATTTAACAGGTCTCATTTTAACAGGTGGATCAAATTTGAATGAAACTACCTCAATTTTACTGCATACCATGTAAATCAGCCTTAAATGTAAAGGTAAATTTAGTCTAAGTGTGAAGATAAATGCAAAGGCAAATGTAAATGTAGTAGCCTAAGTAACAATACACACATGTAAAGGTAACTGTGAGGTGAGTGTAAAGGTGAGTACATTCAGATGACCTTTGACCCAACATATTCACACACTTTTGCCCACTTTCTGCAAGTGAATAGTTTTCCAGATGCGTGATTGTCGTTAAATCACCATGAACACAATTGTTCCAGCATCTTTTGTAGTCACATATTGATTCGTGTCTGTGATTTTGTACAAAGTCATCATACAAATCCTTTCATAAAAGGAATCAATCAGCCCTTTTCATATGTTTGTTATAATGCAGTGCGCACTTCACACAAAGCAGGTTGGAAGAATCCATCTCACCCTGCCTCCTTTCTCTCCATTGGCTCCTGGGAATCCGGGGAAACCGGTCGAACCCTGCAAATCAAAGAAAAAGACTTAAGGGAGGAATAGAAAGGCGGCAGTACCTGCATATTAACGAGGTATGAACTCCAAGAGTCCCGACTCTCCTACTGATTCCGACAGTTAAATGCCATTACAATCTGTTAGCATTAGCATCCTTGGCTTTGCTACTTCCACTGTAGAGTTTTAAATAACTGTGAGACTGCTTTGTCCCCATTGTTGGCAAGCTTTTTTCTCAGAATAATTCAGCGGTTGAAAGATAGACTTTGAATGCTTATGATATATCCCAAGATAAACAAGGCCAATCTCGATTATCAGTTTCCTTGTTTTGTTTGCACAAGACTAAGTGCAGGAGAGCTTCGGGAAGGGATTGCTTGTCAGTGTGGAAATACAACGGGGTCCACCGAGGACAGAGGACGATATAATCAACTGAAACAACAGACACTGGACGAAAACAAATGGCCACTCAGTCAGATAAACAACCAAACAGAGTTAAGATTAAGAGTCACAACTGATGAGTCTTAGGCCCAATCCTACCCCTTAGCCCTTCTGTCTCGATTCTCTTTTGGTTGGAGGGGTAGGGGTAGGGGAAGGGCCAGATAGCCCTTCAAACGAAGATTTTTCGGGACCACACTTCAAATGAAGGGGTATGAATTATCTCAGCGTAAACCGGCTTCAGAGGCAACATGGCTACCCGAGCGAACAAAAAGACACATAAATGTAAGCATTTTTGGCATTAATAAAGATTTTAACGAAACGTAATAATTAGTTTTATGTTACATTCAATCGTGAGTTCATATTTACGGTCATGTTACTCATAGAAATGTTTGCAAAAAATCGCTAAAGTTTGCTAACGTCATATCATTACTGACTGCACGATAGTGCCACAACATATTTTCATGTCTGATCAGGGCGATAACCACCATAGACATTGAGGGGGGCTAGTCCCCCCAATAATTAGAAATCGCTAAACCCTTTCCTCAAATATTGCTAATTCGAGAGAGAGAGAGAGAGCGAGAGAGCGAGAGATGAAAGTTGCGTGTATGCGCGTCTGTGCGTTTCTCTTTTTAGAGTTTACTTAAAAAACGATATTACTGGAAAATATAATGTAGCGATTCAGTATTTAAACTGTTATTAATAAATGCCGTGGGGCAGCGTTGACAAGTTTCTTTGCTCCTGGATGTGGAAGCTGCGCGATATCTAATGTGTGTGTGTGTGTGTCAGTAAGCAGCGCATTAATATAGAACGGTAATTAAAGGCTCTAATGCACACACCAGCACACCAGTATAGGTGTGTGTATTGTAGGAGCTAGACTACGTATGATGACGTGTGACGTATAGTAGTGGTGTCCCAATTCTTAGGGGAATATTTTCACCCCTACCCCTTGACACTGTTTCAAGGGACAAGGGGAAGGGGTAGGCGGAGGGGTAGGGGAAGGGGAAGGGGTATAAAATAGAATTGGGATTGGGCCTTAATTGCTCTCATTCGCACTTCTTGTCTGTTTCTTTCTCTCATTTTCAATGCAGTAAATTAAAAACAGCTTACCCACGTTCCTCAATCCTGACAGCGGAATAAGCATTCAAGAAAGAAAATCAATACATTGTTTTACACATTCATTTTAAGGCCAGGCCTCCTGGAGAAATCAGGTTTGATTTACCACAAAGGATATTATGAAACTGTAAAGGTGAGACATTGACGAACAAGCAATGACACTCTATAAAAAAATGCCACAACTCTGACGCCAGTTACCACTCAGACAGTGATGGCTGGTCTTCAAAAGTGCACTTCATGATAATTTGAGAGTTGGCAGGCTGTTTGAATCCATTCCAGAGATGATGGCATGTCAAAGTGCTTGTAATCACATCACTTGTCTATCGTTCATTAATGCTCCCAAATAGGAGCGGATTTATGAGACCATAAATCTACCAACGGAGTCAGCACCTCCGCTAGGACTGGGCTTTATTCCATCTTATTCAAACAAATTCATGATAAGCTTTAAAGGTGAAAAATTCCATTTCTACTCCACTATTGACTACTGCAAAAATAGGGAATGAGGTTTCCCTGAACAATGAATAATATCTTTTTAATGGCATTCCCAAAATTATTCCCAAAATAGCTTTCATCAGTGGTTAAAAATTAGATTTTAAGTTTAACTTCATGTACTATGTATCATAGTCTGAAAGTACATATTCTAAAATAAAAATAATCTAAATTAATTCATGTTAATAATAAATAAATGTTAATATTTTCAGAATTTGGTATTGTTGTCTTTATAATATATTTTTCTGATTATGGAGTTTTCATTAATAGTTGAAAATTAAGTTTCAAATTTAACTTCATTAAACTATCTATTCATATTCGGAAAGTACACCGTTTTGGATGCAAAATCAGTGCGTTCATAGCAAAAATCTTCCAGGAGTGTAAGAATATATTTTTTATATTTTAGGATGTTTTAGGACAAAATAATACTGATTATAAATTGTAAATGACTGAAGTGCACTCCATATACATTTACCAAGCAATGTATCAAATTGTGAACTGAAAACTCAAGAGTCTTCCTAATTGTACCAACTAGGTGCCTGTAATGACACCAATGTTTGTTATAGAAGATCTCCAAACCTCCAAAGCCACTTAAGGTCTAGCTTGGGGCTGGCTTGAGCCAGATTGGGTACTGCTGCTACAGCTGATGTTGATGAAAGGCGCTGAGGTCTGACACAGGCATCTGTGCTCCGACTTCTTCTCGCTGCCTGCGTGACCAGCATCCCCAACAGCACAGGGAACAATCCTGGCATGAGCTGCTCATTTTAAAAAAGCCTCACTCGGTGCAGAATGCATAATGCATTCTCAGGAGGACATTAGTTCATGCTAATGAGCCAAGTTGTTGTTTAGCTCACAAGTGAAACAATCGTGATGCAGGTACAGGTGTCCTGTTCAATTTAAGTGCATACCTTTGGTCCTTGACGTCCTGGATAGCCGGGTAATCCCGGAACACCAAGTTTGCCCTGGTGGAAAACAAGCCAAGGATCATTAGTGCAAGAACATCTCTGGACAAACAAACATCTCATTTGATATTAATATTCCAAACACAAATTCTGCATCACTTCACACCCCGTGCCTCTGTAATCAACTAATAACGGTAATCCGTAATCAACAAGCAGCGTACCTTTTCTCCAGCAGGTCCCAGGGCTCCAGATTCACCATTAGGACCTGCACGACCCTTCGGACCCTCTGGTCCATCCTCACCTCTGGGTCCGGCCAATCCAAGCTCACCCTAAACATGCACAGAAAAAATCAGTGCAGCCCTTCTTGGGTTAAATTAGCATGGGCTTGAAGCCAGCAAGCCTGGATGCTGTTTATTTACCCTGTCGCCTTTGAGACCCATGTCTCCCTTGAAACCCGGGAAACCATCCTCGCCCTGAAAAGTAGGATGAGACATTAGGGAAAACATATAGAGTGATGAAGCTATAGCTTCTGCATATAAACACAGCACCATTGATTCTTTAGCATTGTACTAGATCTCCATCTGCTGACAAAAATGCAGTACTGCAACACTTTCAATGATTTCACTCAGTCTAGAAGTTACAATATTGTGCGTATGGAATAAATTAGACCAAAACTGTGGTAAAAGTGAGCAACAGCTGAAATACACTTAGCTAAATGTGTGCTAATGGCTAAAAGTAAGCTAACAGCTTATAATACAGAGTGTTGATCTATGATTGAATTCTCATTCAATCAGTCTCAATCTTGATGCATTATGCAACTTTGTGATCACCTGACGGCACTTGACTAAATGTGTGCTAACGGCTAAAAGTGAGCTAGCAGCTAAAGGTATGCTAACTATTATGGTTCATAGTGTTGATTTATGATTGAATTCTCATTCTCTGTCACCAAATATCAGTCTAAATTTCTCGCCTGCATGTGCAAGATGCATTATGCAACTTTGTGACCACCTGACAGCATTGTCAACTTAACTAATGCCTTATTTATTTGGATATGGACACGGCTACATACTCAGTCTTGTTATTATGCTAGCACTACAGTATCAATCCCACCATCAGTTGAGTGTCATTCTCAAACATTTTTTTTCTACATTGCTAAATTATAGCCGACTGCAATCTGATTAGTATTCGTTTCAATGATGGTTGATGGTTTTTGAGAAGGGGAAAGCATAGGTTTGTGTGGCTCTGGAAGTACTTAATAGTGATGGAGTGATTTTGTCTGGAATAAGTGTTATGACACTCTCTCTGCATGATTAAACAGCACTTATGACATGATGTTTAAGAGGAGAGAACGTGTAGTGGCTATATTCTTTTTATGCAGATTTAGTGACCAGTAAGTGGCACTGCAATGATTCTTAGTGCAAGCATCATCTTCTAGCAGCGTCATTCAAAAAAGATGTGGATTTTTGCATACCTTCTCTCCTTTGCCTCCCTTCAGTCCACGAACGCCATCAGCACCCTGTAAGACAGAGAGCATGTGATCAAGCAAAGATCACAAACTCAACAAAACACCAATAAATCTCTATCAAATACAAAAAATGCTTTACCTTCACACCGCGAGGGCCAGGATAGCCGATGGGGCCCTGGGGACCGGACTGGCCCTGAAAGTGACAACATTGAAAAATGATGAAATGTGTGCGACGAAGAACGAATATCTGTGGCTGAGGTAACCTTGCAAGAGGTTTATAGATAAACATACTGATCAGATACTTTCAGACAGCACTAATATATATATATATATATATATATATATATATATATAGATATATATATATGGAGGCCTGTGTAATCATAAAGAACAAAAGTTTACATCACCACATTATGTTTCAAAATCTTTCTTTTTGGTCTCTTTCTGTTCAAAGGGACTACTGAGAATTATACGCATGAAAACCACAAAAGTCTTACTTTTTCTCCAGGCGGTCCGATGGGGCCCTGTGGACCTGGAAGACCCTGTACAACAGAAAACAGACAGCAAACGTCAAGCGTTGTTGCCATGGCAGCAGGGGGAGGGGGAGGGGGGGTGATAGAGGAGTAGGTATGTGGTAGAGAGGAGCCCAAACTGATGACTTACACCCAATAATGGACTTATTGTATTGTCCCTGTGTGTGTGTTGGCAAGGTCACTCGTGTTTGCACAGTGTGCTTGAGTGTGTGTGCATACACACGTGTGTTTACTGTGTATGTGTTTACAGTGGCTGATTCAGTGTATTTGTGTATGTGCTGACCAGGAGTCCACTCCAGGGAAATTTGAGCTCACTGCTCTGATTCGACCGCTGCAGGTGGGGCGTTATGAATGAGACGCTTTCAGCTGCCCACTTCCTCTGAGCCCAGCAGAGGCTTACAGAAATATTTCAAATAATTTCACCGTGCCCTCTGAGCTTCAGAGTCTTTGTCATTTTTATTAGTTTTTGTTGTTTTTAACACACACACACACACACTCACACATGCCTATATATATTTCAGATATTTATTTGAATATTTAATAATAAATAGATATTCTATCCACATACTTTATTATTTATTATGAAGCTATATATTAACTATTGTTTTTTAAGCTTTTTTTTTTTTTACTTTTTAGTTTTTTATTTTAAAACAATATACAGTTACCATACTTTCTTTCCAAATTTTTATAGGGATTGCGCCTAAGAGATAATTTACTAATTAGCATTAAGTCAATAGATAAATACATAAAAAAAAAATTCCATGCTTTTTCATTATCTGATTTTATTAAATTCTGTGACATTTTCAAGGGAACCCTCAATATAAAAAGAAAATTACAATTTAGATGACATGGGATTGCTTGATCCAAAGTCAACCAAACTGTATCTTACATAAGAGAAACAATACTCAAACCTTACAGTAAAAGCTCTGAGGTTCAGTGTCTAAAGTGTGTTTGTTCTCACCTGTGCTCCTGGGATTCCCTGTTGACCAGGAGGGCCCGGCTCTCCCTGAGGTCCCTGTTCAACAAAATAAATTACAGTACATGTCATATGCACCCTGAATATGTCAGATGACCAGCAATGTTCTATATATTTCTCTGTGGGTTAACATATGTGCTTTGCTTGCTGATGTGAATATGATGCTAATATAGTGAACACAATGCTAACAAAACTAAGTATCTTATATGAACAATATTAATGTTAAAGCTAACAGAAAAAAGGCTACTGTATACCTTGTCAGCTTCAGAATGCCTGTCCTCATATTTGACAGAAAGTTCAGTGTTTAACGTGTTTAGTTGAAAAATTTGCGAGATTAGCTTCTGCTAACCGAGTAGCTTTATTTGAAACATTTATTTTTCATGGCATATCAGTTTAGTTCTGTTAAAAAGCTCTTGAATATATCTGAAGGGTCATGACTTAGCATTTATACTCAAACAAACAGATTCATTAAATTAAGCGTTAGTTCTGGCAGGTCACGTGAGTCAAGCTTGCATCAGCTGATTCTCAGCTGATCACATCTACCTATAGGAATACAACACCTATCGCAGCATTCCTATATAAGCTCTATTCAGTATTATTCAGCAGCTTTTCAGCTTGCTCAGGAGCAAATTGAGCTCCTCCATCCCCAGCTCCTCCTTTCGCCACAGTCAGGACTTGGCTTTCTGATATTCCTTGCTAATCAGACTCCTTTATCTTGAATAAAGTGTTACACTTAAATATCATTAAGTACATTAATGATATCTGCCTTGTTCTGTTCTGTTAACCCTAGGGGGGTTATTATTGCTGCTCTCCCTGCTCATTCATGACAGGCTGCATGGATGGGCAGGGAGTTTTTTTGCCCAGAACAGAACCATAGCGCCAAACCAAGTGCTAAGTATCTATCATTTTGACGATAGTGGTCCTGACAGAACTGTTGTTTTTGTTAGTCATAATTTGGTTCCAAAAACAGAAGATGTTTCGGATTTGATACGCCAAACTCCAAGCAATTTTCTTACACAAGGTTAATTCGTCCACTGGTGATGTCACTGTGGCAGTAAGAAATGTATTTGTAGTTCATTAAGAAACAAAATTTAAACTTGACAGTAGTCCTAGTACACGTACATAAAGGCCGAAACACGTCTAAAACCCACAGAGATTCACTCAACAAGTATTATCAGCATCTGCTAAGCTGATTTTATCTACAAAACGTCATGTTTACGAGATCCATGTCTCTTACCATGTTTCCTTTGGGACCATGTGGGCCATCAACACCAGCAATGCCCTACAGAAATCAATTGTGAAAGATTAGAAGCGAGCAATCAGCATCAGATCCACAAGATTATAAATTAAAAATCACTTACAGGTTGTCCAGGAGGTCCAGGAGGGCCTCTAGGGCCGAGCAGACCTCGTGGCCCCTGAGATAAAAAGAAATGAGAAGGTTCTGATTAAAAAGAGCAAGTATTCTCTTCTGAATTTTAATAGGAATCATAATAGGCTGTTGAGTGACTCTGCCCCCTGGTGGCAAACTGGAAATAAAACATTTAAAAAAATACAAGGTGGGACACACTTACACTCTCACCAGCAAGTCCTCTTGGTCCAATCTCTCCATCTTCTCCCTGTAAAGGAGAAAGAAGTGAAGAGAATATGATTATTCTAATAGCTGAAACAATGAAATTATAAGAAGGACGTTTTTTTTTTTCAACAGGCGATTCAGAAAAGCATTTACCCTTGGTCCGTCCTCTCCGAGAGGTCCAGAGGGACCAGGAGGACCGTTCTCACCCTGTCAGAAAGAGACAGACAGGAAGCATCATACTTTATTACATCCAACTTAATATAGAATCATTTCACCTTGGCTTGAAAGTGATCTAGGGAGTCATTTTGGATCCTATAATTATTACCTGTGTTTACATGGGAAAAGGCTGGAAATACCCTACTGTAAAGTTTCCAGAGTAGAAGGCTCTTAATTTCACCTCGGAAGAGCTCATGATTCTTCTCTGTATCATTATTTATTATTAGCCTTAATACAATGAAGAACAACACTGTCAGCTAATGTTGTGTGTTTGATGTCCTTGTTTCCGATGTACAGTAAGGGGGCAAAATTTGTGTTGCTTTAAAAAAAAAAAAAATGTAAAGATGTGCCTATTACAGTACCTACACCTACTATTGTTATTATTATTATTATTATTATTTTACTCATGGTATTAACAGTCATTGTAAAGAAATCAAAATGTTGTTAAAAAAAAAAAAAATGCTAATCATAGCACTGGGATAATAATCTACAATATGTGTCAATGTCAAAGTTATTAATGTTAATTATTAATGTTTGTAATGAAAGTTATTAAAAAAGTGTTCTGCGTTTCAGCACAACAGAGATGTTTTATTTTATTTTACCATAATATACAGAGTTACCTTTGCCAAAATCTTATAGGAGTTGCATCTAGGAGATAATGGAGTAAATAGCATAAGCTGGAAAATTGCTGTGAATCTCTTCATCTACATTTCAAAAGCTCCTCTAGATAACCCTGGTCATTTACTCTTATTCTATTGCATTTGTCGAATTTATTTGTATGCGTTCATACTCACCCTGTGTCCCTTCTCACCAGGCAGACCTGGAAGCCCATCAAAACCTCTGTCACCCTGAGAAGAAGATGAGGTAAAAAATTCAAACGATATATTTATATGTACTATATAGCATATCACATATATGTGTGTGAGAATTGTTTCTTGAACCTTAGATCCAGATTCTCCAGGCATTCCACGGGCCCCGTCGGTTCCAGCACGACCCTGTCACAGAAAGATCAGAGAAGATATGACTATTATGTGTCCATATGCTAACTGAAGACTCATTGAAATGAAAGCAAAAAATAATCATCTTTTGTCCATGTGAAAGATAAAGAGAAATATCTTACTCTCTTGCCAGATTTTCCCATTTGCCCTGGTGGGCCTTGGATACCCCTCGGACCCTATGGTGGAAAGATACATGATTATTTAAGTAAGTAGATCATTAGGTAGGATGAACTTTGGTGGTGAGAAATGCTTTATCTTACCTGATGACCAGGGTCTCCACTATCTCCCTTCAGCCCAGAAGCTCCTGGAAGACCCTGAATGTGATTGACACCAGAGAGAGATGTATTAGACCAAGACTAGACCAAACCAACATGTTTTTAACAGATACAGAAAAGATTGAAATGCCTGCACTATACTGTATACAAAGAAACAGCAGGTGGCAATATTTCACAGCATATACTATTCCTGATCTTCACTCACCCAGAGAATCCAAATAAGCCCTGAATAAAAGTTAATGTAGTTGACATAATGGCTTGGACTTGTTTAAAGATGTAGTTATTGCACTTTACTTTAGGGAATTGTGCTGTTTCTTTCGCATCGCACCACACGAAGCAGAATACTTAGAAAAGAAACTGTTGATTTTGAAATTGCTGCTATTCCAGACAGACTGTCCTAGTTTTTTCTAACTGATTTCAAAGATAATTTGAGAGTTGAGTTTTGCATTTATTCCTAAAAGTACACCCTACTGTAAGGAACCATTTGGAAACTTGAAGATTCTCATTTGTCTGCTGTTTAAATGACACATCTAAGGATTCCCAACTAGCCATTAAACAGCAGCTGTGTTCTTTTCTTAAATAAAGATTATGATTTCAAAGTCCCTCTTAAATTCCCACCACTCATTTCATGCTCAATCAGTGACGTAAGATAAGTATGGCTGTGGTTTCCACTTCTCAAATGCTTATTTGAGGTATTTTGTCATTAGTTTGGTCACATCTAAGTAGGATAATTTCTTGGCGTGAGTTCACTGGCCCATCGTGTTTCAACAGGTCTAGTTAACTAGTCCAGTGTTAGTGAGTGTTATTTTTAATAATATTTTGGTTTAAATTTTATTTTAATGTTTTCTGTTTTCATTTAAAATTTATTTAAAGTTTTAGCAATTTAGTTGTTTTTTTAAGTCATTTTTAGTTTTTAGTCTATAAGTATAAAATGTTTACATTCATTTTAATTTCAGTACATCAAGTTAAAATAAGTGAACTACTTGAAATAGTACGTTTTTATATTTTATTCAATTTCAGTTTGGGTTTATTGTAATTCAGGCATTGAAACCGCAACCTTGCCTCTCTACACATTAGAGACATTTTGGAGCCCAATATGTGTCTTCTCATAGAGGACATTTGTTGGGATGATTTGGGATGTTCAAAATATTTTACATATATAAAATATACAGGACAGTGATGGTGTTTTGCATATTAATAGCGATGAAATTTGAATCACTGCATTAAATTGCATTGCTCTGATTTTCAGTTAGTAAAACTCTGATTGGAAAGCTGATTGGGTGGGACTTTTGCAGACGTCATGGGGTCACGGAAACTCACCACTGGGCCAGATCGTCCTGTGAGACCCATTGGACCTGATGGACCTCTCATGGCGAGCTGCGAAAACAAACCAAAGAATCAAAATCACCAAAATATCAGCAAACATATACAAGAATTGTCAGACATCTACTCCCCTCGGCCAGAGGAGGAGGGGCAGTGCCTGCATTTGTCAAGGACAGATCTGAGCACTAATCTGCAGCACCTGTCGGGTTGCCCTCCTGCGGGTCGTGAACCTTGCTAGTATTTTTAACTAGTCTCTCCGCATGAGTCAAAGCAGCCTGTGCTGCTCCGTTTCACTCTTGTTTTAGTGCAAACAAGGCCGGAGCAAATCCCCTCCCCACCCTGTGACCTACCACCCCACCTCTTCCCTACAAACAGTCAAGAATCCCCCACCTCCCCCTCAGCAAACAGCTGGGTGAAGCTTGAGGGCCATTTGGCCCTTCACTTCTCATACTCACCCTGGCCTGAGAGAGAATGGCCTGAGCCTGGGCCTCCTGAGCCGACACCACTGGACCCTTTTCCCCATCACCACCAAACCGGAACTGTCAAACATGAACAGAGTATTCATTATTATCATTTTCATTTAGAAAAAACACTTCAAATCCTACACTATAAATATTGAGTCAATCCAAAACAAAAAGCAATATTTTGAATATTTAATTAGGAATTAGATAGTATTTTTAATACTTTTGAAAAGCACTAAACAACAATATGCTCTAACGAAGGGAAGCTTGCAGTCATATAACACTTTATACTGTACTATACTGGAAATACTAAGTAAATCAAATCTGAAAAGCATATTATGAATATTTAATTAGGATTAAGGTGGTTTTCAATACTCCTACACAATATGCTGTAAAGAAGTGAAATATGCAATCATTATTTTCATTTTATAGCTACATTACATAAAACACTAAATACTATATTATGCTATAATGTAAATACTATTAGGTAATCAAATGAAAAGCAAATAATTTAGCAATTTACTAAACAATATGCTCTAAAGAAGTGAAGTATGCAGTCACTATTTTCATATACGGTATGTATCATTATAACATACCATACTATATTATATTATAGTTACTCAAATACAAAATGAAATATTCTAAATATTTCATAATGATTTAGATCAGTTTCAATCCTTTCAAAAACTACTAAATTTATACTTTATTTATACTGTAAATTACTAGATATTTTCATTTATTTATTATCATTATGCATAATACTTCATTCTATAGTATACTTTACTATAAATATCAAGTGAATCAAACACAAAAAGCGACATTCTGAATATTTAATTAGGATTTTCAGTACTTTTGAAAAATGCTAAGCAACAATATGCTCTAAAGAAGTGAGGTATGCAGTCATTATTTTCAGGTATCTATTCTTATTAGGTATAACACTTTATACTAAAATATACCAAACATATATTAAAATACTACATTAAACAACTATGAAATGCTACATTTGGAATCTTTAATTAAGATTTAGATTTTCAATACATTTACAAAGTACTAAAGAATAAAGCTTTAAAGAAGTATGCAGTCATTATTTTCATTTATGTATCAGTATGTGTAACCCTTCATATTATAATTTACTATACTGTAAAAACTATATGAAATGCAGCATTACGAATATGTAATTAGGATTTAGATGTTTTTCCAAACCTCTAACTACTTCACAACAACAAAGTAAAGAATGTAGTCATTATATATATATATATATATATATATATATATATATATATATATATATATATATATTTTTTTTTTATATATCATCATATATTTCCTTGGTTTTCAACTTACATATGCAAATGCACCAAAGGGATATTTAATTTGTTTTTAATACTTTTCAAGCTCCTGCACAATCATATATTCTAAACAAGTTTGTTGTAGTTGTTTTCATGTATGTATTATTGCTGAATACAAGCATGAAACTAATGTGCAGAATAGGCTGGACAGATCTGCAAAGATTTTTGGTGGATTTAGGGGTCTTACTGGCAGCATCAGCATAGTACCAGGGGGGCCTGGCAAGCCATCCGCTCCAGGAAGACCAGCACGGCCGGAAGGACCCTGAGGAAGCAGGAAGAGTGGGAGAGAAAGACAGACGGGATATATCAGTAATTTGACACTTCTCGACTTGACAACACACAGGTAAGAGAATGCCAAGACAGGAATGAGAAAGGGAGGGGGATCGAACAGAGATAGAGAGACCCTCTCACTTCCATTAATCTTTAGTGAAGTTGTCTATTTTTAAGATACTGATTGTATTAATTTTCTAGCTCATGAGCACAGGGGGATATCACTGTGTAGCAATTACTTTTATCTAAACAACACTTCATATGCCTGTCCAGATGGATCCCTGTTGTCTCCACCAAGTCCAATCACAGCAAATTATCACACTGTTTCATTTTTTGCTACAATAATAGCAATAATAGCAGGTTATGTTAAATAACACCAATAAACAATATTACATGCCATCCTGAAGTGTACAGGTCTTAGTTTGATAAAACCATTAACAGGAAGTACTCAAGATCCCACATTTTGTTGATATGCATTTCATTGCTATTTGTGCTTTAACAGTCTTCTATTTAAATAGTCTTTTCTTTATTTTCACTTGTAAAATGAACTGTATTGGTCTACAACTGAATGATATTCTGATGCAAACGATTTACTTAGTCTCATCATTAGCATTCTTGTGCGTGTGCAGTTCTGTTAAAGAGTGTGGATTACATAGACATGTAATATCCACAACACAACCTAACATCAGAACTCCAGACAGACTTTGGAGTTGGTTTGGGAATTTGTAATGATAATTATCCTCAAACAGTTTAAGGAAGAAGATGTGAGCAATGGGTGTATTTTGCATACAGAAATAGATTGAGGGTAACGTGCTGCGTTTAATCAGACATTTGCCCACTGAACAATGACTGCTCATTCTGAAGTAACGTGAATTACTGCAATTCATCATCTGGGAACGTTAACTTGCTTTAATCTGTGTTTCTAAATAAAGCAACTCAGGGTTTCACATCTGAAAACTAAATGTGTCAGAGAGGGTGTAAATGTGCCCTCAGGGTCAGGAATCTGCCATGACCCTGTTCAGAATAAATCAGCATTATGTTTTGTTTACTGACACATTTTCATGCGGTCTTGCAGTTTACTAAAGCCGGACTGTTTTTCTAAGCCTTTCTTGCTTAGCACACAAGTTTTTCTCTAGCCTAACCTGTGTCTCATTATGTTCATCACAGATTTCATTTGACATGTCTCTTTTCCCACTTAATCACTGTTGATTTTTTGACAAATTAAATTTCTGTGAAACTAAATATGACAAAAGAAAGATCAAGTCCTAAACCTGAACTAAACCTTGTTAATGCTCTGAAAATACCTGTGGTCATCATAAGTAAACATAGCCTGGAGTCAAAGACTGGAACAAATTTTTACCCTGTCACCAGGATCTCCAGCTGAACCAGGGGGGCCATGTAAACCTGGAGGGCCTGGAAGACCCTGAAGACAAAATGAAAATTTAATAAACACACAAACTGGAACACAACGACGATTACCCAATTACCAAAAGATTTTAGATTTAAAAAAAAAATTGCTAGAACACTTTGGTTGAATATTGCATTTTACAACTGACACAGACAAAAATGCAGGTAACTTACAGCAGGTCCAGGTGGTCCAGCAGGTCCTTCAATCAGCATTCCCTACGAATCACAACAAAGCCAGAATAAAACAAACTGACCAGAAAAGATTACAGCATCAAATTACTAAATGAATATTTATAAACTAATCTCAATATTGTTCCCAAGGTGATGAATGCCCAGAATTTGCTTTTCACTCACCGGCTCAATCACTGCAGGTTCTCCTTTTTCTCCCTTCTGACCCAGAGCAGCACCACCACCCAACTGCAAACATACAACAGAGGTTAGACACAACAAATGATAGACCGACAGAACTACAGATAACGTAGAGAGAACAGAGAGACAGACAGACAGACAGACAGACAGACAGACAGATAGATAGATAGATAGATAGATAGATAGATAGATAGATAGATAGATAGATAGACAGATAGATAGATAGATAAATAAACTATTAGGGTTATTGCTGGTGCAGAGTGTATGAGGTGTGAAAATACACATGAATATGAAAGCTTAAGGAAAAATGCTAAATTTGGTAACACTTTATTTTAAGGGCCAATTCTCATTATTAACTAGTTGCATATTAGCATGCATATTACTAGCATATTGGCTGTTTATTAGTACTTATAAAACACACATTAATGACTTATTCAGCATGACCAAATTTTAGATCCCTCAATTCAACCCCATTCCTAAACTTAACAACTATTGCTAACTATTATATTAGCAGTTTATTGAGGCAAAAGTCAGAGTTAATAGTGAGAATCGGTCCCCAAACTAAAGTGTGACCCTAAATTCATAACGTTAATCTCTCTGAGATTAACAAGATGGAAAGTGTGTAACCAGCGATGTAACGGACAGGATCTGATGCCGTCAAACCTTAGCTCATGTGGGCTGTAAGATACAGGTATGGAGTTTTTGACGGAGGGGAAGTATGAGCTTCTTAAGGGGGTGGAGGTGGAGAAAGGTGTGTCTGAACAGACAGCTGGGTCTGTGGTATGGGGTAATTGCCGTATCCCAGGGCGAAATGGGCGATAAGGTGCTGACAGTCAGAGAGAGAGTTCGAACCACAGTTGGTATGAGAGTGTGCATGTAAGTGATCTGTGAATCTATATGATCTGTCATACACAGAGACGGGAGTGAGAGAAAACCAATACGGACAAGAGGAAGAAGTGCAGTGCAGATTAGTATAAACCAACACAGCAAACAGAAAAAATTATTGGACCCCATGCAAAATAGTGCACTACAAAGCCAACAATGCATGCTAGATTCCCATATCCAACAGTCCGAGTGCTGGGCGACACCCTCATTTGGGGGGCCAATACTTACGTCCGACGTCACTTCTGTTTCAGCGATGTCGGTTTCGGCGGCAACCCCTGGCCCGAAACTGTCCTCGTAATTGGACGTAGGATTTGGAGCCACATTGCCAAACTCATCGTATGCCCCATACTCATATTGATTTTTGTCAACCCCAGTCACATCATATTCCTTAAGATCATACTCCTTAAAGTCATACGCGTCCACTCCGATGGGGTCGGCGGTGCCGCTGGGCAGCGCGGCTTCTGGGGCAGCAGTCAGATCCAGACCAGCCTGGGCCGTCTCAGTGACATAGTCACTGAAAACTTCCTCTTCCACAGCCTTATTATACCCAAGCAATGCGGCCGGACGGAGAGGAAGGGAGTTCGAGCAACGGAGGGAAGATGGATGTTAGTTAAGCAGTTAAAGCAAATACTACTGTATCTAATGCAAAGCAGGAGCAAAATTAATTGAATGAGAAATATTTATTAAGAATAGTATATAATTTTTGGGCAGCAACAAGATAACACTTCTTAGTCCCGTTCAATGGAAATATATCAGTTGATTTGAATTGGATTCGAGGATTTGGATAAATGGTGAATTTAAGGCGCAAATAAAATCTGGTTAAGTAAATCACAACATTGTACAAGTTACAGTAACGGACAGATATAATCAGTAATGCACATTTATAATGTGATCTCATAGAAAATACTGTTACACGCAAATGAGATTTTAAAAAGTATATTTCAACACTTACTGTAAACATTTCTAAATCTGTTCAAATTTCGGGGGCATTTTTGTGTGTTATTTGCAGAGGGACAAATAAAGTGTTAACTTTATAATTAAAAAAGGCATTATTTTTACATATTTAATAATCACATATATAAGTCTATGATAGACTTTAGGATATTCCTGTCTTTTTTCCACAATAAACATAATGGTAAAGTTAAATTATGTTTAGAGGTGAAAAAAAGAAGACAGCAATAAATGACATAAGTCTGAAATGACACTACCATGTTTACAAATACACACACTAATGCATTAATGATGTGATCAAATGCAGGAACAGATCAAATTGTAAAAGTCGGACTCTGCTTTTGATTACAACAGCCAAGATTTACGTTATGCTTTAGTACATAACCATAAAAAAACAGTCAAGGAACACCCGTTTTTATTTCAATACTGAAAATCTAGCACAAGGGGCATTTAGACATTTCTTACTGCATTTAATTTGAGAAAAAACACACCTACACTTATAATGTGTCTTTAATATCCAACATAAACTTACTGTAGAACCACCCTGTAAATACATCTAAATGGCTGTGAAAGAGTTCAATTCTGTTGAATATAGTTCTGATAACTAGAGCCAGAACTATTCAACCAAAATACATCAGGGACGAATGCTATTATGTTTTGTTTCTTTTTCAAAGGTCCACATATTTGGGTCACTTACTGAGGGAACTGTTTGGAATGGGACGTGCTATCTTCTCAATGATAGTTAGGGCTGAAAAATGGGCAACCAGTCAACATTTAAACAACCAATTCCAAAACTTAAGCCAAAAAGACAAACATATATAATTTTCACTTAGCTGTGTGATCAGTTCACTGCTTTAAATTTAGATCGGATGGTTGAACGTCCATAAATTGCAGATTTTTTCTTAAATACAGCCTTAAATATCATTGATATCCACAACAGAAAGCTGAAATGACAGAACAGAAACCAGCTGCATGGCAATCCACTAAGAAATATCTACTTGATATTCAAAACATGTTCAAAGTTTCAGACTGGAAAACATCACAGGAAGTGGATTGGCTAAATTTAGAACTTGACGGTTTTATCAGCTTTATGTTGTTGGATAAAACAGTTCCCTTGTGGTGACAGTCCCAGAGTTGAAAAACACAGAACAATTGCCATGAATTGTTTTGTTTTTGTCATTTCAAATCAAATACTTCCTTGTCATACGTGCTCCTGGATTTTTCCCCATTCTGTCCCACATTTTCTTCGCCCAACCATCAATATATATTTTCAAATGATTACCTGGTTTGGTCCAGTGGTTGCGACAGGAGACTGAGTTTTGGAAGCATCTACTGTTCCGTAGTCAAGTTCACTGTCTGTATAGTACTCCCCATCTACATTGTTAGGCTATAGCAGTTTCAAAGTGAGAAGAAAAGAAGAAGAAGAAGATGATAAGAAAGGAGGAATTAACACAGTTCAAGCAGTTCCACAAGCGTTACAGGCTGGATCCACGGGGACGGCACCTAGAGAAATGGGGCGGACAGCACACTCAGACTAGCATCAGAGATTTCCCTCACCGAAAGAGAGATCTTGATGGGTTCTGACATGAGCTATGCTTGTACTATTACCCCTAGAATGGCTTCTCTTGGTGGAGGTGGCAGGTATCCATATCTCTTCTTCTTAATTGCTAACTTTTTAGCCTGTTTTGGCTCCTGGTACTTATAGGGTTTGGAAAAATATTTAGGGGACTTTCTCATCCTCTTCGTTTTCATGGAGACACTGCGTTTTACTCTCTGAAAGAAGGTTATGGTGAAGGGAAAAAGACAACACATCAAAATATCTGTGTTAGAAGATAAATAGGTTCACATTTTTTTCAAACATGGCTTACTTAGCTTAAGAATAACTTGGTATACACTATCCTTCAAAAGTTTAGGGTCAGTTTTTATTTATTTATTTTTTAAATGTGACCCTGGACGACAAAACCAGTCATAAGGGTCAATTTTTCTAAATTGAGATTTAGACATCATCTGAAAGCAGAACAAATAAGCTTTCCATTGATGTATGGTTTGTTAGGATAGGACAATATTTGGCCGAGATACAACTATTTGAAAATCTGGAATCTGAGGGTGCAAAAAAATCGAAATATTGGTAACATCGCCTTTAATGTTGTCCAAATGAAGTTCTTAGCAATGCATATTACTAATCAAAAATTAAGTTTTAATATATTTACAGTAGGGAATTTACAAAATATCTTCATGGAACATAATCTTTACTTAATATCCTAATGATTTTTGGCATAAAAGAAAAATCAATAATTTTGACCCATACAATGTATTTTTGGCTATTGCTACAAATATTGCTACAATATACAGTTGGTGGTTGCCATTGACTTCCATAGTAGGAAAAAAAATACTATGGAAGTCAATGGCAACCACCAACTGTTTGATTACAGCAATCTTCAAAATATCTTCTTTTATGTTCAACATAAGAAAGCAACTCATACAGGTTTGGAACGACATGAGGGTGAGTAAATGATGACATAATTTTAATTTCTATCCCTTTAAGATCAATGGCTGGTGAAAATTCAGCTTTGCCATCACAGAAATCAATTACATTATAAAATATACAAAAAATAAGTAACAGTTATTCTAAAATGTAATAAAATTTCGCAATATCACTGTTTTTACTGTATTTCTGATCAAATAAATGCAAATGCAGCACAACAGACTTTCAAAAACGTAAAAAAAAAATTTGAAAGGTAGTGTAAATCTATCATGGATATTAGAAAAGTGGATATTGAGAAGATTTGAGTAGTCAGATATGTTGTTCTGATACCATAACTGAGGCGATTTCAGGCTTGCTTCAAAGAACGGTCATTCTCAAACTGGCCACCATTTGACTATTAAGTTCACATAAAATTTTTTTTTTTTTTTATTAAACAGTGTATAGAGTTTACAAACATGGACAGACAACATATACTACATGGGCAAAAGTATGTGAACTGCTACAGTAATTTATGGGCCTGGCTATTTAAGCTAACAGGTGCTGAAAATCTAGCATACAGCCATATAATCTCCTTAAACAAACATTTCCAGTGGTATAGGGCGTACCAAAGTGCTAACATCACAGGACAACTGTGTGGAAGAAATTGACTGGCCCAGACAAAGCCCACACCACATACTTTTGCCCATGTAATTTATACAGGTAAAGGAAAAGGGGCGGGGCCACCCCATGATTGACATAACAAACACATCACATATCTCCTACATTTACCTGCGGCTCAGAATATTCATCTGTCGCTGTGGGGGTCGCTCCCTCATAATAATCATATAAATCACCGTAATCAACAGCAGTTGTGTACTGTACACAGGGAGAGGATGAGAGAGAGGTTAGCAAAGCATACAAAAGTCATGTAGAATGTAATCTACCCTTGGGTGTATTACATACTTTGATGGTTAGATTTACTGTATAGCTGGTTTTATACAGTGCAGATGATTAGACACAGGTTTATCATACACAGGATATTATCATTATTTTTTACTAAAGCATCCAATGTTAGAGTGCAACGTCACGATCAAAACAATCTAAACACCTAAAATGTTTGTTTTTTTGTTTTTGTTTGTTACTCTCTACTGTGTGAGTTCAGCATGTATGAACACACTGCATTAATTACGTTAATGTATAACATGTGATGCACTTATTCTGATATGCATGTGGGTGTTTAAAACCCTATAAAAACTCCCTGCATGTCCGAAGCAGAGATAACAGCCATATGTTGGCTGCTTTCTTAACTGAACCCCCTTTTTTCTTCTTTCTCATCTTTATTTGTGTGTAAAACCCCAGCTGCCAAAGGCTGATTAAAGGCTTAGATCTATAGAAAGAGTCAAATCTATTTGGTTTTCTTATTTCTAACACATTTCAAAGTCTTATTAGCTATAAAACTTAATGTGTCATGTAGGAACTTTTCCTGGGACTAGGGATTTTATACACACACACACAAAAAGGTACTGTACATCCACAATGTATAATTGGCATCATACATTGTATAGATGTTAAGTGTTAAGTTTAGAATATTCAGTTAATATTAATATTAAAATTAGGTTAATATTAATAAAAAAGTGTTTGAGTCGGCCATTTAAGGTCAATTTATATACGCATTCATCAATTATGACACATTTTAATGAAAGTATGAATGGTTTTTGTTAAAGTTTATGTAGCAGTTTTTCTGTTTCTATTCCTTCACTGAAAGTAACGGCAGCAGGAAGTCCGATAAAGCCACTGAGCCTGGCTCTCCAGGGCTTCATCCATCAAACACAAGTATATGTTAATCCTGATACAGCATAAGATCTCATAAAACAGCCACTGCGCTGATGATCTGGCCCTCTTCCATGACTGGTGATCAGTCAGCGTTCAGTAGGACACCGTTCAGCCAGGCCGAGGGTGGTTTATGAGCAGAGCATCTCACACACGCTCGCCGAGTCAAGATGCGAGAAAGAGGGTTATTGATTTCTCCCATACAGGAAACTACCCTCTCCCTGTTTCGTCAGGATATAATGGGTTAAAATTACTTGCACGTGGTGTCTGTGTTTACAGTAGTCATCACAGAGGTCAGAAGTGTCAAGGTGTGGCTTACTTTTGACCTGTTATGTTTTTATGGACACTACCGCTCAGACATTTCAGTCAGTAATTTTTTTTTTTTTTGGAAGAAATTAATACTTTTATTCACAAGGATGCATTAAATTGATCAAAAGTGACAGAAAAGATCTATTTCAAATAAATACTGTTCTTTTGAACTTTCTAATCATCAAAGAATCCTGAAAAATCCAGGTTTCCTCAAAAAAATATTACTGTTTTCAACACTGATAATAAGAAATGTTTCTTGAGCACCAAATCAGCATTTTTGAATGATTTCTGAAGGATCATGCGACACTGAAGACTAATGATGCTGAAAATTCAGCTTTGCATCACAGGATTATATTTTAAAATGTATTCAAATAGAAAACAGTTATTTTGGATTGTAATAATATTTCACAATGTGATTGTTTTTACTGTATTTTTCGATCAAATAAATGCAGCCTTGGTGAGCATAAGAAACGTTCAAATATAGATATATAAAAAAATCTTTCCAACCCAAAATGTTTGAACGATAGTGTAAATTTTATTATATTATATTATGTAATACATACATCTATTATCTTTGTAGCGTGAGAGCATTTTTTCAGTGACCATTTCTGAGTGTGATGTGTTGCTTCTTTTATTTCATATATATATAAAATGATAATACTAAAAATATATGATAAAATTTTACTTTTCCGTACTTTGTCCAAAAAAAGTACAACAATAATAATAATAATAATGCACCAAAGTATTATTTTAATTTAAAATGCAGTTTTGATTTGTAAAATTTTTTGCCCACTACATAATTCCTGTACTTGAGTGTTATTTCATAGTTTTGATGACTTGTATATTATTCTAACCTGTCGAAAACAACAATGAAGTTTCTGAACAATGAAGAGTTTGTGTGTCCAATTGTTCGACTGGTAGTGTCAAAAGTATCATCAATGTGCCAGACTTCCAGAAACCTTTGGTCTACTGGATACTGCAGGAAAGACCATTTCCTCTGCTGGTCAGTGCAAAAGGTCTATACTAACCTCCTCTCCGGGCTCCTGTGCTTGCAGTGTGTCCTTGTGGGGGACGTCACAGTCTGGGCTGTAGTGTTCACAGTAGTCGTAAGCTGCTTTAGGGTCGGCCACAATCAGCAGTTGCTGGATGTCACCCTGAGGGGACGAATGACAGGAAGATACATGAGATACATGTGCCAAAAAATACCTCTGTTATTAGTACAGAGACACATATATGTAATATATTATCTGCATGAAAAAATAACAAACCCATCTTATCCTGGTTAGTCAAACATAATAAAAATACCACTCTTGTACTGCAGGAAATACATGCAATTTTGGAATTGCAAGGCAACAAAACAACAAACCACTTTCACAACGAGGAACGCAAGGTCAGATGGTTCAGGAAATTGCTGTATTAGAAGCAGGTAAATAAAACGTGTTTCATCATGAAACACCTGGTAATAGAAACCCACACAGGAAGTTTTCTCTCATATAAAATGCTGCCTGCCTAACAATGCTTAGGCAACAATACATAAAACCTTCTGGTCAACAACACGTTAAAAACATATAAAACACATGCATGGTCTTTCTTCCAAATGAGTGAAATCTGTTTCTCGCCATTGTTGTGTCAATAGCATACATTCATTCTGCATTATGATCAACATTCTGGATGATAAAATACATAATTTACTGTATGGGGTTTTGATTTAAGTGATTACATTTGTGCATTTTTAGGCCATATGTCTTTTATGGGCTGTAATTATCAGATCCAGATCTTTCTGTTCAAATGCTGGGGTGATTAAGAGTGACCTGGGTCTGTTACGAGGAACAACCATGACTTTTACAGTACAGTCCACGAGTAGAACTGGGGGATGTGTTGGAACCTGAGGTCTTTCCTTGGCACTGTTACAAAGAGAGAGAGAGACTTTAGCAGCAAGGCAACCCCGAAAAAAAAACCCCCAGCAGGCTTGGACTTGTTAAGGACATGTGTGTGTCTGCGTGTGTGTGTGTGTGTGTATTTTTACACTGCTCTCTGTAAACTCAACTGTATAAACAGCAAAATGCTCAGGTGTGCCCACAGTAAAATAGAGGATGCCTGACCTCTTTATTACAAAATACCACATTTTATACTGCTATTATTTGATTTATGAAAACAAATCAAGACATTTAAAAGAATATAACCCCCATGTCGATTCATATGACTTCTTTCCTCTGTGGTACACAAAATGTGAATTTTTGAAGAATATTCTCACCTTGTATTCAATACAATGAAAGTGGATGAGAATAGCTTCACATTTTCAAGCTTCACATTAACAAGTGGTTCAATTAACGACTTAAGTCACCTGATAGCTTTGTGTGAGGTAAAGGATGAAATTTAAGTCGCTGTTCAGTGAAAATCTTGACATCCACCCTTGATCTGAATTGAAAGTTCATGAAAGAAATAGACTGTGGACGAATAGTCAGTGAATCTTTAATTCAATTCACCAATCTGGTTAGGTTCAACTCACTAAATCAATGATTCGTTCACAGCAGCTGGAAAACTAAGAGTAAATTGCAATCTGTTCCTCACACAAAGCTATCAAATGGCATCAAAATAATTCAAAACATAACAAGTTATTTAGACCACGTCTATGCTGCTTTTTTTGTAATTTTGTAGCTTGACAGCCTCAGTTTTCTTTCACTTTCATTAAAAACAAATCACCTTTTGTTTACCAAAGAAATAACATCACAGGTTTATAACAACATGAGTGATTAAATTAACATTTTTGGGTGAACTATCACTTTAAATATGACATTATCACTAATGTCTCATCTAAATCATCCACAATAATCGAAATTCATCAAAAAACTATCAATATGATTACAGTTGCTGCAATGTCGTTCCAAGCCATGTTTGCATTGATCACTTGTCGCTCTGTTACATACAGTACATTTACCAGACCATGAAAGCCAGGATTGGCCCCAAAAACCAGGCTTGGCATTACAGTCTGGTGCCAAGATGGAGGGAAAAACAGGGCGATCAAGCCAATGGCTGAATAAAAGTGACACGTATTACCTCATTTGTCACCCACACACCTTTAACAACTCCCTGGACCCTGCAGAGCTTATTCTGAGTAAGATACGCATGAAATCCTCGTCTAAGACTAGAACTGTATCAATTCAAACAGACTTAAGCAAATAGTTTAGAAAAATCAAGCCCACCCAGTGATTTACAGTAATGCAATTACATCTGACTTGTATAGCTTGTTTCTGCCATGGAACAAAACATAAACTGCAATGTTTTTCCTCAGAATTGTGAGAAAAAAATAAAATATCCCTCCTTAGTTTTTAATTTTTAATCCCATATAGAGTTTCAATGCAGAGGCTATTGTAAAATATGTTTTTTTTGTGTGTGTGGAATTTACAGCAGGTCTCTCTCTATTGCACAATATTAACAACTGTTTGTGATACAGAACATTGTAACACAGGTAAAATGTTATGGAATATTCATGCAGTAATGTATCAACATCTTTAAACAACATGAACCAATTACATCACTAAACAGCTTTTTGCTAATGACCCATGAGTCATTCGTAAACACCTCTGTACTAAAAAGTTTGGTTGTCTTGAAGGCCCAGTGTGTGAAAAACTATTTAAGATGCAGACCCCCAGCATGAGCATACAGTAAACTGTTCAAATAGCAACGTACCACAATAGGAAACCTGTCATTAAGCACCATAATGCCTCAGCTTTACAACATGAGAGAATTTGGTCAGTTTTCCTCAGTCATTTAATTGTACTTAACTGCTCTAATTACAGAACTGGAGAGAGCCAATGGTGGCAAACACTAAATCGGAAACAAAAGGAGCAGTGAACTTTGATGTACCCAAGCCTAGAGCTGTGAACTGAGCGACCCGGCAACACACCCAACACTATTAGCTGCGGTCAACGCTATTTCCTCACCTCACAGACAATATAGTAATTAAGATAGCAACCTGGCCATTTAGAAAAATAAACGTGGATGTGTTTCTGAACTGTCATTCAAAGTGTGTCAACAGCCAATGCAACAATTCATGCCTTTTGCCAACCATTTTTGTAGGTTTAAATGATTTGGTAGGGGAGCAGTAGGTATGAGGAGCCCTGCTGGTTGAAGAAAGGTTCTTATTCATTATGAGACAGAAATGAAACATGTAGAACTAAGTACGGTAAAACATTTTTTTTGTCAATTTATATCCTTTTTGTGGGCCACTATCCTGCAAATAGCACATTGTACACTTTCAAACTCTGCAAAATCAAAGGCTTCTTTACAGGCCCTACAAAGCGTTGATTCATTCAAGGCTAGTAAGAGATGTCGCTCCTATGGGTCTGACCAGGTATTTCCTTCATATTTCCCAAAATACACTTCAGATGTAGCCATACAGTGGGAACAGTCATAGCGTTCATACTCTCACACAGAGAACTCTGTGTTTCCGACTATACAAATCCCAAATGACACACCAAATCTAAATACTGGGCATACCTCTCGTAGCTTCTCTCTCTCTCTCTCTCTCTCTCGCTATATATATATATATATATATAGAAAAGCTACGAGAGGTATGCCCAACCTCAACTGTCTTGGATGAAACAGTCAGGTAAAATGTATGTGACCATTTGTAAATTACATTTGGACAATTTTCTTAACATTTCACTGCTTTTGTGTCCAAAAGCCCAATAAATCTACTGTAAATATTATATTGCAAAAAAAAAAAAAAAAGTTGCAGATATACAGAGCCCCACACATGAATTGTGAAATAAAAAATAGATTTTATGGCCACAAAGTAAGAATTGATTTCTACAATTTATGAATTGGCCCAAATTCACTAATTCGCTAACTACAACTAATATGTGACCTTGGACCACAAAACCAGTCATAAGGGTCAATTTTTCTAAATTGAGGTTTATACACCTTCTGAAAGATGAATAAATAAGCTTTCCATTGATGTATGGTTTGTTAGGATAGGACAATATTTGGCCGAGATACAACTATTTGAAAATCTGGAATCTGAGGGTGCAAAAAAAAAATCGAAATATTGAGAAAATCGCCTTTAAATTTGTCCAAATGAAGTTCTCAGTAATGCTTATTACTAATCAAAAATTAAGTTTTAATATAGTTACAGTAGGACATTTACAAAATATCTTCATGGAACATGATCTTTACTTAATATCCTAATGATTTTTGGCATAAAAGAAAAATCATAAATTTTGACCCATACAATGTATTTTTGGCTATTGCTACAAATATACCCCAGCGACTTAAGACTGGTTTTGTGGTCCAGGGTCACATATGTCAACTTCAAAACTCAATATTTAATATCTATGGAACCCCACACATGCAAAAAATGTAATCCCTACAATTTATTAGTTTGTTTTTAAGCAGCACTATGTAACTTTTTCTGAGTTCAAAATTTGCAAAATGTATATAATGAGCGAGTACATCATGAATTCATCTTCCAAAACTCGTTTTTTGTTTTATTCCGAATCACTATGGTACACTTATAATAAGTACTAATATTTGGACTATTGTAGCCTGGTCGGGTCATCACCGCTGCGGAGTAACACATACCTGCGTGAATCGCCATAGAAATAAACTTAGAGAAGTAGCTCTGGTTGGAATGTTCTTCCGCGGGATGTGCGCAGTTCTGTTTATTAACTGCTAGAGCGCCAAAAGTTACATAGTGCTGCTTTAATTTTGAGATCCTATAGGCATATACAAAGGGGGGAAAAAAACACTTTTAATGTATGATCCCAGTCATCATCTTCAGAAAAAAACAGGTTCACAGCAGCCCAAAAAAAGTGTAAGGGTCAATTAAATGTTACGATAAAAGTACTTGCATTAAAGCAATTTCAGCAACAATATGGGGCAATAAGACATCATTCCCATCCCCCACTAAGTTCGTTCTCCACCACATGGGTAAACACACACCCAAGCCCTCCTCCTTACCAAGAAGCAAAGCATTTCAATATCACCTGTCAATCGGCCCATTGTACTAAATTATTTACAGCTTTAACTCATTTTGACCCTGCACATTCCACACTGCTTCAATTGTGACTTTTAAGAGAACAAACGCACACATAACACTGTGAAACAGCAGTTACCTAACAGACACAAGCTACACTTTTGCACCAAAAACAGTCAAACAGAGGTGTTGAAAAGTGCAGGAAGAAGTTGCTAAGCAAATCTATTTATATATGCCATAGAGTATCATAACACACAGTCATGACTGTGAAAATATTTGTATAGTTTCCATTAATTAGTAATTTTCTGCTCTAATCAAGATGATGGCAGGGCTGCTGACTCTCCTTTAAACCTGTAATTAATTAGTGTCTGCTAATTAATTAGTGTCTGCTTTTTAATTTTTTTGGAAATAAAATGGATTTGTGCTGGTCAAATTATCCATATTTTGCTCAATTATCCACACTTTTCAATACCTTAAACCACCAAATAAACATACTCAGGTTCTTCTTTTACAATGATACACATACTAGTTGTACTGTACAGAATTTACAACATTAACCATGTTGAATGAAAGCCTCGGCTGAGCAATCTGTGCACGAAGAAGACTCCTCTGGCTTTGAGTAGTTTTAATTACAAGGTGAAAGAAGCCTTCATAACAGGAAGCGAGGGAAAACCCGACCACTTAAAGGTAAACAGTGACACAAGGCTTGTCTGTCTTATACAAAGCAAGCTCATGTCCAGAGGGACACGTTTTCACCTCCCGCCATTACGGAAATGATCTCCGATATTAGTCAAATCCAAAGAATTTTGCATCTTTAATATGTGGAGAAGTTACATTTATTCTCATAGTCTTTAAAACATCTTACATGAAAGTGCATGTATTGCTAAAGTGGAAATTAACAACAAAGGCCACATTAGGCTAAAGTGAACAAAGACTCCACATACCATAATGTTACATAAAAAGATGCTTACGACAGGTTTCCATAGAGATCTTTCTCATGGAGCTATACAAGACAATAACGGATGGGATGCTAAGGCAAATAGCTAGCTTGTGGCAAACAATGTAAAGGCCTACATAGCATCCCACAAACTCTAGTTTGAACTATACAGTTGTTTAACCCTCAGAAACCCATGAAATTGCAGAATCTTTGAAATTAGGCCACTTGCAAATTTCAAAATTGCAAATTTAAACAGGCAGTCAACACATTTAGCATGACTTTAGCAAGCTGGGACGCTCAATATGTAGATCTATTCCTGATGCTGAAAAAAAAAAAAAATGAAACCAACCTAAGCTGGGGCGTGTTTACCAAAAGCAACTACACTCTTAAAAATATTAACTGCTAGAGCGCCAAAAGTTACATAGTGCTGCTTTAATTTTGAGATCCTATAGGCATATACAAAGGGGGGAAAAAAACACTTTTAATGTATGATCCCAGTCATCATCTTCAGAAAAAAACAGGTTCACAGCAGCCCAAAAAAAGTGTAAGGGTCAATTAAATGTTACGATAAAAGTACTTGCATTAAAGCAATTTCAGCAACAATATGGGGCAATAAGACATCATTCCCATCCCCCACTAAGTTCGTTCTCCACCACATGGGTAAACACACACCCAAGCCCTCCTCCTTACCAAGAAGCAAAGCATTTCAATATCACCTGTCAATCGGCCCATTGTACTAAATTATTTACAGCTTTAACTCATTTTGACCCTGCACATTCCACACTGCTTCAATTGTGACTTTTAAGAGAACAAACGCACACATAACACTGTGAAACAGCAGTTACCTAACAGACACAAGCTACACTTTTGCACCAAAAACAGTCAAACAGAGGTGTTGAAAAGTGCAGGAAGAAGTTGCTAAGCAAATCTATTTATATATGCCATAGAGTATCATAACACACAGTCATGACTGTGAAAATATTTGTATAGTTTCCATTAATTAGTAATTTTCTGCTCTAATCAAGATGATGGCAGGGCTGCTGACTCTCCTTTAAACCTGTAATTAATTAGTGTCTGCTAATTAATTAGTGTCTGCTTTTTAATTTTTTTGGAAATAAAATGGATTTGTGCTGGTCAAATTATCCATATTTTGCTCAATTATCCACACTTTTCAATACCTTAAACCACCAAATAAACATACTCAGGTTCTTCTTTTACAATGATACACATACTAGTTGTACTGTACAGAATTTACAACATTAACCATGTTGAATGAAAGCCTCGGCTGAGCAATCTGTGCACGAAGAAGACTCCTCTGGCTTTGAGTAGTTTTAATTACAAGGTGAAAGAAGCCTTCATAACAGGAAGCGAGGGAAAACCCGACCACTTAAAGGTAAACAGTGACACAAGGCTTGTCTGTCTTATACAAAGCAAGCTCATGTCCAGAGGGACACGTTTTCACCTCCCGCCATTACGGAAATGATCTCCGATATTAGTCAAATCCAAAGAATTTTGCATCTTTAATATGTGGAGAAGTTACATTTATTCTCATAGTCTTTAAAACATCTTACATGAAAGTGCATGTATTGCTAAAGTGGAAATTAACAACAAAGGCCACATTAGGCTAAAGTGAACAAAGACTCCACATACCATAATGTTACATAAAAAGATGCTTACGACAGGTTTCCATAGAGATCTTTCTCATGGAGCTATAAAAGACAATAACGGATGGGATGCTAAGGCAAATAGCTAGCTTGTGGCAAACAATGTAAAGGCCTACATAGCATCCCACAAACTCTAGTTTGAACTATACAGTTGTTTAACCCTCAGAAACCCATGAAATTGCAGAATCTTTGAAATTAGGCCACTTGCAAATTTCAAAATTGCAAATTTAAACAGGCAGTCAACACATTTAGCATGACTTTAGCAAGCTGGGACGCTCAATATGTAGATCTATTCCTGATGAATATTTTGAAGAATGCTGACCAAACTGTTTCAGTTCCCATTGACTTGCATTATATGGACCAAAATACAATGGACGTCAATGGCAAGTGAAACTGGTTACCAACATTCTTCCAAATATCTTATTTTGTGTTCCACAGAAAAAAGTCATACAGGCTTGTAACAACATGAGGGTTAAATGATAGAACTAAATTATGTTTTCATTTTTCACTATCACTTTAACCGATTGTGTTGAAATTTCCATGAAGTGAGTTTCTGAGGGTTAAATACTTTAGATATGATATACTGTATGCATACATGTAAGGCCATTTAATCTACTAGATGGACAAAAGGAAATACCTTATTCGCAATCTAAAACTTCTCAGCAGGACCTCTTTTTGTATTTACAGGGCTGTTTATTTCTCCACAATACTAGTTTTATTTGTCATTAAATGGGCTGAAAAAAGCATGTGGATACCCCCGGAGCTTAATTATAAATTTAGCTCTAGTTTGCTCTCCTGTTCTCAAATGAACAGATGTTGTTCTAATAATGCTAGACGCATTAAATACACGTAAATGTATACTTTATCACACCATCAGGCCGACACCAGTGTAGTGCATTAATGCAATGAATACAGCTTTACCTCAAACGCTTCCTCATCCAGGATCCTGGTTCCAAAAACAGTTATACCATTGGTGTCAATTCCAGCATGGTCACTCCTGCCCAAGGGCTTTGTGAGCTTCTTCTTGCAGTCGACAATGATGGTCACGGTCTTCTTCTCAACACTGATGCCTACACGATGCCACCTGCAATGAACAGGAAGAGAAGGTAACTACAATCCCAGCAAATGGTTAAATGTCTCCACACGTGAGACGTGCCTTACTTTAAAACCTTAGACAATTTGCCTTCATTCTTGAGATATAACATTCCTGAGTGGACCACATTCCAGCCTTCAAACTTTGGCCTTGTTTAACACTGGATTAAACTCATTAAACTCTAGACCAAATCCCCCCTGTGAGTTATTCAGCATGACAGACACTGTGAACATTGTAAAAAGTGTGTGTCAGGAAGGTACAGCTGAGAAACTGAACTGAAAGAGTCAAAACACTGAGCTGCAGAGGGAAACTGTTGGACAGGTTTGCGGTAAGAAGCCACAGCGAGATTTCAAAGGCATATCAATGGCACCCACAAGGGTGATCAATTTCCCATAATCCACTTCATTAGAAAGAAAAACCTTTATTCTGGCTCGTGTCTTTAAAGTACTTGGCAAACTTGAACCGGGACAAGCTTTACTGTGTCTGGAGACCAACATTTCTGGATAATTTAGCTGCTAACAGAATACAATTTACATAGTTAAGAGCGATTACGTGAATGATTGATAGATGTGTGATGGTGTAAAACCACAATATCACACCTTTAGGCATTAAAACATCCTGGGAATATTCTAGAACTTTAGTTAATCCCTGGACTTGCCAAATGCAATGATTTAAAGTCACACAGTTTCACACCAAAATGACCCATTTTCCCAAAGGACATACTGCGTTGTCTTTCCAAGTGTCATTTTCATGAATTATGCTGACAACACATTGTAGCACTTTCTGATTATAATGACATTTAACACAAATGTTTTTCAGATTCTTTATACAAGATCACATTTCCATCATGACCAACTGTAATTTTATGTCTCTGAGGAAGATAAACCACAAACGCATATGAAAGTTATATTAAAATGGTGATAGCTAATCTTTTTAGCTGTACAAATGATTTTTAAAAGCCACTTTTAACCGTAATTCTTCCTGCATGAGGGAACTGGAATGACAGAATTAGCCCAATTAAGGTGCATTTAACCTGAAATCCTCATCAGCACTATAATCAACATAAGCACTATAATCCCTCATGGAAATATTGCTGTTTTTACAGCAAAACACCCCACTGAACTGATACCTACAATAAATCCTTTTAAACCCTAATAAGACAAAGCACGTCAATTGCTGTCAATTAATTTTAGTGTTTGAGGATATCAAATTAAGTATAAATGGGTGTCAGGACAATAAAGAGCATTTGAAATGTTTAATGCACATTTTAATACAATCACTATTTTCTAAGGAAGCATGTTTCCATCTTAGACCTTAAAAAAAGTAATAGTGATTTTTTTCCCACAATTGTGAGTATTTCTTGCAGCTGTGACTTTATATATTGTGATGTGACCTTTTATCTCGTAATTGTTACTTTATTTCTCATACTGTGACTTTTATCTTGCAATTGTGACTTTATTACTCACAATTTTGACTTTACCTATATATCTCAGGTGCATTTCTTTCTCATAATTGTGACTGTATGACTAATAACTGTGACTATATTTCACAATGTGACTTTTTATCTCAAAATTGTTAATTTATTTATCAAAAACTCGACTTTATGTCTCTCTATGTGATTTTTCTTGTGATTGTCTCACAACTGTTACACTGTATCTTATAATGTGACTTTTGTGTCATAATTGTGACTGTATTTCTCGAAAATTTGACTTTATATATCATAACGTGATTTTTTTTTTACCCCAAAAATGTTTCTTTATTTCTAGCAACTGTGATTTTATATTTAACATTTGATTATATTGACTTTTTCTCGTGTCATTGCGAATTTATTTCTCAACACAGTGCCTTTATCTCACAATATGTCCTTTTCTATAAATGTGAATTTATATTTCGCAATGTGACTTTTTATCTTGTAAATGTGACTTTATTCCTCAAAACTGTGACTTTATACCTCATAATGTGACTTTATCTTATAATTGTGACTTTATTACAACCGACTCTGTATCTCATAATTTGACTTTTATCTTATAATTGTGTCTTTATTTCTCACAACTGTAACTCTATATCTCATATGACTTTTTATTTCATAACTTTGACTTTATGACTTGTAGCTTTATATTGCACAATGTGACCTTTTGTTTTATTTTACATTTTTCCCTTTTTTTTTTTTTTTTACTTTGAGACAGGAACAGGCTTCCATAAATATATCTTAATGTTGGTAAGAGCTTCCTGATGATGTTATCCAAGAGATTAATTTCTGAGGTCATGCATCTGCCCCATATTTCTAAAATAACAGTACCCCGAAATATCACTGCCGAGGTCAGATCACCTACGGTCCTGTCTGCTTCACTCCATCAATCCAGAGTCACAATGAGATCTCCTCTGGCTCGCCTCACAGAAGAAACCACGCATAACTAATGCTTCAACAGACACCTGAAATTCTGATTTGTCTACTTGTTAACTCTCGTCAACCGAAATGACTCTAAAACAGAAATATCTTCCTCCGCATATGATCGCTCAGGGCTACAGTGTAAAACTCCAGCCTGGCAACAAATGACTTCCTGCTGATGACTGACCCCTGTCTGACCCTGTCTGGAGTCAGTCTCAGTCTCTGTCTCTGAGGATGGATCTAAACAGCCTAAAAAAGGCTGCTGTACATTCAGCTTCGTGCTTTGTGACTTACTTTCCGTCGGCCAGGTTGAGGGAGCGGAACAGCGGGTAATCCTCGGGGGCAGGCTTGCCTGTCTGATCCTCATACAGGAAGACAGGTGAGCGGCCCACCTCCACGCCTAGTTGCTGGACGCCTTTCTCATTGTAGATGGACAAAAGGAAGGACTGGATTCCAGCTTTGGGCTTGATGGTGGTTAGGATGGAAAAGTCTTCAGGGAACACACCATCTAGAAAACAGCACAGACAGAAAACAAGCTCACTGAAGGGTTCATTGGGTTTTTGAAGTCCATCCAAACAGCTAATTGCAATGTTGAAACTAGAAACATAATGGAGGACTAGGAGTACCACTTAAAAACAAAATAAAGGAATGAACTGATTATTACAAAAATAAATAAATACTCATTTAACTAAATTTTTAAACATGAATTAAACAGTTAAATCTTTCTATTTATTTGTCAGCTTGACAGGTGATTTATTTATGTACTTTTTTATTTTTAAAATTACATTAAAACAAAATCCTTTGTCATCTGTAAAGCATTTTCTGGCTATAATAAAGCAGTTTAATTCATGCAGTTCTTTAATTAGTTACTTTGTTAGAGCATATGCATTGTTTAATTTTTTTAAAAGGCCATTAATGGCACAAAATGAGAAAAACGTTGAAAAAAGATTTGACATTTTATACAATTTATCAGACGTCACTTAAAAACAAAATAAAGGAATGAACTGATTATTACAAAAATAAATAAATACTCATTTAACTAAATTTTTAAACATGAATTAAACAGTTAAATCTTTCTATTTATTTGTCAGCTTGACAGGTGATTTATTTATGTACTTTTTTATTTTTAAAATTACATTAAAACAAAATCCTTTGTCATCTGTAAAGCATTTTCTGGCTATAATAAAGCAGTTTAATTCATGCAGTTCTTTAATTAGTTACTTTGTTAGAGCATATGCATTGTTTAATTTTTTTAAAAGGCCATTAATGGCACAAAATGAGAAAAACGTTGAAAAAAGATTTGACATTTTATACAATTTATCAGACGTAATTTATCAGACGTTTACTATCCAGCTAAAAAGGGGTGATGCAAGAAACTTGATAATAAACACCAGATTTATGGCATTGTATAGGCTGAACAGATATTAACAAGTAATAAACATGCATCTGTTTCCCACCATATAAAGAAACATCTGCAACTTTAAAACCTCATTCCGATTACATAATGCATCTCAAACCTATCATAAAAACTCAGAGGACTTAGAATATGGTACACAATTTGCATGGGGTATTTTTATTGGGGTTCACTGATTAATTTTTATTTGAACATAAAAGAGCAACTTGGACATTCTGCAAAACATCTTCTTTTGTGTTGCACGAAAGTAAGAACGTAATTTGGAATGACATGAGGCTGTGTAAATGATGACAGAATTTCCATATTTGAGTGAACTATGGCTTTAAAAATGTCTGTTCATTTCTTATGCAACTAAGCAGACAAGCCATGCTGTGGTCAAGAGATTTCAGCCAAGTTCTCCTGCCGCTTAACAATACAAGCGTCTGAGTGAAACATGGCCCTGCACAATCAGGGATGGCATCTGCTGTCAAAAGCCTTGGCAACCACAACAAAGGGCACATTTAAACGTAGGCAGGATATGGAGACATGTTCATGGGGTTCAGCTTACCTGGGAAAAGCTGCTTGGTTGGGGCACTGATCTGAGCATTCTTGCCTATTTTGTAGGCCGTGTCCGGCTGTGATGCTCTTCGGTTTGTGCAAAATCCTGAAGTTTTCTGTAGTCCTTCTGGGACAGTGGGAAATTCTAATACTTTTAGGACATCCACAGGTTCTGCTGTATGGGGTAGAAAATATACACAAAAATGTTAACAAATAAATAAGGAGAAATCCATTCAATGTTTAGCAGATAATCTTTTTTATAATAATACGTTTAAATACTTTTTTTTAATTACTGAACTAGTGTGTTTTCACAATTTTAACAAACTTCAACAGAATTACACAAATCTCTTTTTATAAAAAATTATTTATTTTCAATAAAAAAATACTGAACTAGAGAAATTGAGAAATGTGTTTTCATGATTTTGATTTGAACAGAACGACAAGTTTCTTTTTATAATAATACTTTTAAATAAATAATTAAGATTTTGCTGGTTATATTTCAGTTAACGATTACCTAAATTAAGTTTCTCTAATTGGTTATTCCTATAATAGGTTGTGGACGGTAAGTTTAATGAAAAATGCACAGTAAAATTAACCAACCTATGACCAGAGAGAGTGTATCACATTTAACATTGTTTTATGACCCACAACCACAAAAAAGAAGCCAATATTTGAAATTCAGTCTGTTTTACTTGGCTATGCGACCAAACTCACATCATTGGTCTTCATTCCTATGAGATTTGACCCTTGTAAAGTACCCGATTCCCCCTTCAACTCTTTGGATGATACTTCAGCAACAGCTGGGTTAAGTAAACTTGAACAAACGGTTTCATTATGGTTAACGAAGCAAGATGAAAGACAAACACTGTTCACCCCGGATCACCCAAGAACTCAAAACCTTATAAAGCACCATTAAGAAGAGTTTCTTCATGATTCATTGCGAATGTATGGCACATGTTTGGCCGTTGGGTGTTATCCAGAGTCTACCAACAGTGCCATATGTGTCTTTTGGGACTTAAGTGAATCTTTGGCATCTACCACATAAAACTGAACACTCAAACTGCCCAAAAATAAAGGGCTGCTACGTCACAAAAGGTTGGACTCATCCGAGGGAGGTCTAAAACGCTATAATAAAGACGCTGAGGCGCTGCGGCGAAAACATTTACCATCCCATTTAAAGCTCTAAAAAGCAAAGCCGGCAAACCATTCTTCTGCTGGTTCTTTGTGCTGAATGAAAAGATCCCCACTATATCTGAGAGACTCAATCCGAGCTTTACGCTGAACATACAAGCTAGACAAAAGGAAAACCTCAAACTCATCCAATACAATGACAGAGCTGAGAAGGAGAGATGTTTTGAGGGATTTTCTGGAGACGTTCTCCATAACCTCAGGCCTCATATATTCCAGATGTGGTGCTACAGCCCGAGTCTGACCTTTTGCCATGCAAGTGCCAAAGAAAAATGTCAATACTCCTAAATCCTTCAGAAACCAACTGAGAATATGCCGTCATTAGGAGAGCGCAGCTGATGACCTGGCGTGATTTTAACCAGACTGTGCAAACACACACGCTGATCTTTTTCACTGTCATTCTTTGCATTAGACAGACTGGTGTGTGTGTTTGTGTGTGTGGGAAAGAAGGTTGATTAGACATCGAGTGTGAATGTGGAAGGAGGTACTAACTGAGAGAGAGAGAGAGTAGCACATCATCAAGATCATAAACCTGCTATCATTTGATTCTACGGAACACCCAAAAGTGGGAGGGGCTTTTTCTACAGGAAGTTCTATAAATATGCATAAATCATTTCATTAAGAAAGTCACTGTTATGGTAACAGGACGACACAAATGTAGAGTTAAAATAACAGATGTCCCGATGGATACGTTTTCAAAGGGTCCAGAGGAATATATTTAGAATATTTTTCGAATTTCGTTTTTTAGGGTGATATTAAATGGAAAAAACTGGGGACCCTTTTACCTGCTGCTCCTTGAGACTCTAATAAAGAATTCAGTCAGAATCTCTCTCTCTCTCTCTCCCCCTTCTCCTCTCACTCTCCCCTCTTTGACACATGTGTGCCGCTTGAACAAGACTGCATTATGCCACAGGCTCTCTAAGAGGCAACCTCACTGACGGAATTTTTTTGCAAAAAAATTTTTTCCCCATGTCTTTCCCCCCCTTTTCATGACTGTAGAGAAACATCAAAGAACAATAAAGCCTTTCAACCATCTGCTTCCCAAGAATACTGTTCAGTTCACCTCATATTCCAGTATTAAAGGGACAGTTCAGCCAAAAATAAACAATTTGTTACATTTAGTCTCACTCATGTTATTCCAAACCCTTTCTTTCTTGCGTGGAGCGCTTAAGGAAGCAGAATGAAAGTGGATGAGGACCTGATAGCGTCTAGTTCTTAAGACAGTCTTAACATAGAGACTAAGTTTATGCACATGGAACACCACTTTTATTGTATGGAAAAGAACAGCTTGAACTTTCACCCATAATATAAATATCTCCTTTTGTGTTCCACGAAACCAAAAAAGTCACAGGTTTTGAACAACATGAGATTAAGCCAATGATGATGGATTGTTCTGGAACTTTTTATTGGATGAATTGCATGCAAATATGTAACATCAAAATGTTTGAAAAAACAGACTGAACCACATTTCTAGCCAACAAACATGCACAGAGTTTCGTCACAAAAGCATGACTCGTGAATGTAGCCCAAATGTTCTTGAGACCTGGTCGGCAAAATCTAATATAAAAGTAAGCAAAGATTTCTGAAATGTGTGCATTGTCTGAAGGAATGCACATCTGAGGTTCCTCAGCCTGAGGGGCTGAGAAAACATGTCGGTACACTGCCAGCTCAAGAGGGCACCCGACAGAAATGCCTTCACAAGCCACAAACCGCAAGGGATGTAACGCGCAGCTTCAGAAGTCAAATGAGATTAATACATTTTAAGATTCATTATCAGCTTTGATAGACATTATTAAGCTCGGATCGCTCACACATTTTGGTCATATTCAAGCAGCCTTAGGAAATGTGGCAAATGAGAACAATGGCAATCTATTATCTTATTTACATCTGTCATTTCCGAACAACATAAATGCCTAATTTAATTTTGTAAGGACCTTTGTTCCTGTAAGGGTGAGCGAGACCTATCATAAGGCCAGGCTGGGGCCCCTGGATGGCTCCGGACCCTTTGAAGCCTCCAAAATAATAGGGATGAGCAGAGAGGACAGTCATCAAATAACGGGAAGGCACTTAGTAAAGAAACATTCCCACTGGGAAACTCGTGAAGACTGGGAGACATGGGAGTCACAGTTTTGCAAAAGCCCCCTCTTGGGCTTCGGTGGAACTAGGGTTGAATGGCGAAAGGGTGATTTTGACTGTAACCCACTCTGATCTATATTAATTCCTTACCCAGTGGAAATTGAGGTGCTAAAGCACTTTGACTCAAAAATGCTAAAAAGTTTATAGGATATGTAAATAAAAAATATATATACTGTATATATACATATATATGTATTCATAATCAAATGACTTGTTACACTTATGATCAGTCGATCAGTCACGCCCATTGTAAATTGGACCTCCCAGGTCTCATTTACTATAAATCAAATTCCTGTCATAATTAATGATTTTATAATTTAAAACAGAAGTCTTGTGAGCATACATTAGTATATCAACTACTGACAATCAAAATTTAGCTCTCTTTGAATACACACAATTAGGCTCACAATATCATCCCTAGAAACACACCATTCAAGTAGATACTTTTTTCATTTTCTTTCCCTAAATGTAAGGCATGGATGTAAAACCCTGAGGAATTCCACCCTGCTAACCATGTCCACACACACCTAATGGACCACAGGTTCAAACAAAGAGCTTTTTTTCCCGAAGTAAATCCTAAAGTGTCTCTCCATGACACTCTCTTAACACATTCCACCTCTCCACCCTCCCATAGAGTTTATTAGAGTAGAAAATATGCAGAAACAAAATAAAATTGAGCTAACAATGCTTTTGGGAAACAGACACCTGGTTGGCTGGTTTTAGCTGGTCTTCCAGCCTGGCCATAGCTGGTTTAGCAGGCTGGTTTTAGAGGGGGTTTGACAACTTCTTTAGCTGGTCACGCTGGTTTTAGCTGGTCAGGCTGGCAGACCAGCTGACTAACCAGCTAAAACCAGCTGAACACCAGCTTGATCAGGCTGGACGACCAGCTTGACCAGTTTAAACCAGCTAAGACAGCTGGTACACTGTTGCTATGGTACAAGTGAATAAAACAGATCTTTAAAAGGATAGTCCACACAAAAAATTTAATTCTGTCATCATTTACTCACCCAAATGTCATTCTTTGTTCTGTGCATTAACATAAAATAAGTATGCAGAAACAAAATAAAATTGCATGTCTTTTTAAATAAAAGATTAGGAATATGTTAATTAAATGGATAGATGGGTGAACAAACCAAGTCATGCGCAAAGACTGCTTGTTGGTAAATAGGTAGATACTTTCACTACTAACTGCTTCAAAGTATAGGATCAGACAATTTTTGTTTAACACTGTGATCATGATCCAAAGTCTAGTTTTATTATGCACATACTGTAGATATGTAAAGCCTAATTTATCTTTATCTGTTATATGTGCAAAAAAAATTGCATTATTAAATGTATTGAATGCTCTTTTGGGGAACTAGTGGGTTTATTTTAACGAACTCCGCAGACTGTTCTACATTTTAATATTACAATGTTTTTTGACTTCTTGGGCACTGGTAATATTGTATCTTGCAGCACATACACATATACGGGAAGCAGATCTGCGATCACCTGTCTAAACCAAACGCGTAAAAATCCGCAGGCGCATCTGACAGTGCCTACAACTTCATCAAAAGTTCGGAAGTCTATCTTTCCTTACCTGCTCTGACATTTGGAGCTTGCAGAACCAGGACGAGGGAAACTGTGATGCATTTGAAAACAGTGGAATCCAAAAGCCACCTTTTCGTTTTCCACATTGGGGACCACCTTGGCCTCTCCATGGTCGGGCGCCCACAAATGTGCACAAAACCCGGGGCGACCTCTGCTTATTTGAAAACGATGTCCCTTCTACAATCCCAAATGTGCCCGATCTGCTCTAAACAGCCATAGGTGAAGGGTATTTTGTCTCGCCGGGCCCCCTTCGATCCTCCTTTCCCTGCGCCCAGTCTTCAGACTGAAGGGATTCGGGCTTTAATCAAAATGAGACGCGGAGCGCTCGATCGCCTCACCGTTAAGAGGGCTGGACCCAGACCCTGGATTAAAGGAAAATGACAAGGGAAAAATACCCCGATTAGCAAATCACGGGGCTTGAAAGTTGGCTAGGGATCCACCCATCAGTTTTCCAAAGCCTCCCCTGGTCGCCCTCTTGCGCGTCCCCCCATGAAAGCCGGTAGAAATTTCCCTGGAGTAGCCTGGGAATAAGAGAGAGAGAAAGAGAGAGAGAGAGAGAGCGAACATGCAAGCAATTCTAAATGTTTGTTAGGTTTCGGATTAGGGCATATTATGCATTTTTGCATCCCCAACAAAAAAGTGGAAAACTTAAAAAACTTTAATATATATATATATATATATATATATATATATATATATGAAGTATAGTCTCCAAATTGGCGATTTGGTCAGTTGTACGGAACAAAAATGTTTACATATTTTTTTAGTTCTTGGCTTTTTAAAGGGGTCATATGATGCGATTTCAAGCTTTCCTTTCTCTTTGGAGTGTTACAAGCTGATTGTGCATAGATAAGATCCCTGAAGTTGCAAAGACTAAAGTCTCAAAACCAAAGAGATATTCTTTATCAAAGTTAAGACTCTGCTACGCCCCCCTAAAACGGCTCGTTCTAACACGCCCCCACATATCTACCTCACTATGTGGGAATATTTGCATAATGCGCCCAAATGTTCACGCAAAGAAAGAAGGCGTGGTTTCAGTAACCGCAGTTAGTGTTGAAGCAGCATGTCAGGGAGACGCTGTGTGTTTCTAGGCGAAAGCAAAAGCACTTTATTTGGCCTTCCGAAAGTAGATGAATTTAGGAATCTTTAAGATTACTTACAACAGAACAGCAATGCATTTTATGGACAACCGTTTCGTGAACCTAGGAGAGGAGGTAATTCTGACTTTGCTGTGACAAGCTTCTGAATTAGCTACTGTTTTGTTATCAGTTTAAGTATTTGCTATTGGCTGTTCGAATTCAGAGTTTTGCGCATTGTGTGTGAGTGCGCGAGTGAGCGAGAGAGACAGATAAAGCGAGAGAGAGAGAGAGAGAGAGAGAGAGAGAGAGAGAGAGAGAGCGAGAGAGAGAGGCATTACATTTCCGACGAGTGCTTGCGGTGTTCGGCCAATCACAATGCACTGGGTCAGCTGGCCAGCAGACTGCGCTTGTCGGAAGGAGGGACTTTGTAGAAAACTAAGCGTTTGAGAGAGGCGGGGCATAGAGGACATACAATAATGTACAGTATTTGAAAAATAATGTTTTTTTTAACATTAAAGCATGTCAACATATTCTGTTACACCAAATACACCAAATAATGATCTTTAAAAAAGCATCATATGACCCCTTTAAGAGACTGGACACGAACATGGTTTTCTGGATGAGCGATCAGTTATACTGCGTTTCCCAGGACAACGGCCATCATTCAGAAATATTTGACCACTTATTGCAGCGACTGACCAATCAGAATCAAGTATTCCAGAAAGCTGTGCAATGATGTTTCCGGATGATTCCATCAGTACGTTTTTAAATTTGCGTTAACTTTGCGTAGAACCTACTTAGCATTACAACATTTTGAATGTCAGTAAGCAGGAGAAAACATAACTGACAAGAAAGTAATACAACACAAAAACACCTTCTTATGTTTTGCAGATGTTTATTCTTCAAGAGTGCATGTGGAGGTTGAGTGGGAGGGGCTAAGATTGACTGACAGAAGAGTCAGGCCTTCAGGTTTCTCAGTTTGATCCCACCACTCTCTGGTTAATTAATCACAATGACTAAAAATCTGAATTAAACAAACACAACTATTAATAAAATCATTGTATACTTGTAATATGCACCATCCTTTCAGTTTTTGAAAAATGTTTTGTTTTTGGCATCTCTAGGAAATTTCTCTGTTAGATGTGGTCAATAAAGATCCCATGATCATTTCAAAAAGTGTCTGTCTATTTCAGATTCAAATATGCCATGTTAATATTGAATGCCATGTTAGCTTGAAATTGAATTGTTCAACATTATGTAATGGATCATATAAACTGATTAGTTTATCAGCTTTGCTTCTAGAACTCTGTATGAATAAAATGAACAATCAGCTCTGAGAACAATTGGTGAGTAACCAGCTCATGATTCATGCCAGAAATCATCTTGTTAGCTCCATTTTTGTTAGCACGCCAGAGTCACATCTCTTATTTATGAATACAGTAATGAATGACTGAATGATTAAATGAATCAATGAATAAAGGTGAAATGAAAAAAAAAATACTGTGGCATTTGCATGCACTAAAATGCAAAATCAATAAGATGATTCACACAAAATCAGTGAGATAATTCATCATCATCATTATAATAAAAAAGCATTATGTCATCACCTAAGGGCAAGTTGGAACGGCACTCAGTGAACTGTCTGCAGAAACATGCAGTAGATCTTCAGATATTTATGTGCATGCAGCAATGCCTGTGATCATGATTACAAGGTTTGATTTGGTGACCAATATTTTACCAATATCCTATATTTTTATACAGATTTAAAGGAGAAATAAAATTACTTTTGAACCCCTCTTCTAAAAGAGTGGGAAATTACCAAGCCACTTTTGTCAACTGGACGATGACTGCTTCACTGTACTGATAGCCTACACTGGCAATTTAGATATGACTAGTTTAAGTTTCCCTTCAGCATGAGTATTTGACCTTAAGTGGAATTGTAAGGGAAGAACTTTTCACAGGCACACACTAACCAGCCACTAGCTTCTGTCCACCAGGGTCTGAACACACAGAGCCTGAGGGAGTATAAAGGGCTCTTTCTGTCTCAGCTCAGGGCCAGAGCGCACCAAGAGCTCAGTCACTCAACATACAACCTGTGCTCTGTGTTCAACAAAGAACTCCCACAGAACACATTCCCTCAACCTGGGGAGTGAACTTAAACATGAGAAACAATCGAAAATAGGCTACTCAAATTGTACGTTTGAGAAGACTCTCTGAGGTAAAAATTTCTAGACAGTGGCAGGACTGTCATTCTGGGATTGTAAGCCGGTTATTTTCACTGTGGTCTACCATGGTGGGTACCAGAATGAATACTGGTTAAATATCGCTTCCATTTTAAGAGCGTCTACATCTGTAATGACCACATTGTGCATGGTGGAAGCCAAACGGGGCACTGCTGCTAACTTTATTTGAATAAATAGACATAATCAGCCTACACAAGCTTGAAATAGCTTTGGGCAGAGGTTCAAAAATGCCTAGACCTTTGTTGTGATGTTATTAAGCATTTAAAAGCTTGTGTTGGAAGTTTAAGAAATCATATACATAGATTCTTGACTATTGCTGATTTATATAATCTAGGCTAAGGTAAGTCTCATATCCTGGTTTAAGTGCAAACTAAACCATGTTCAAAAGCCTTTAGTTTATTTTTCATTGCTCTAGAGGTCACATTTCAGTCTAACACCTAACAAAGTGGATCACAAACTGGGCGGCAGCAAATCTCTATAAATATACCCCCACATTTCAAACCATTCTTACACCCTTAATCACAAACATACTACATTACAAGCGGTAATGGGTCTTTCCTCATGTTTAGCAGTGGTTGGAAACTCACCCCAGGGTCCTCAGAGTTATTCAAAGCGGGGTTGTAGATGTAAAATTTCACAGTAGTTAATTCAGTGTCTGGGCAAGCAGTTTATACTTAAGGAAGCATCAAGTCCATTACTTCTATATAGAATATTACCCTAGATTCAATGGTGGTCACACAAGGACCTTATTTTTGGTCGTATCTACTTTTTGAATAAACTGTTGAAGTGGGTTGCTGAGGTTAAAAAGTAAACTTACTTCTGTAACTATGGAACTTAAGTAAATTAATAATGATATAATAATTAATTATAATTCTATAATTAATAATTAATACACTCTAAAAAATGCTGGGATGTTTCAATCCAATGTTGGGTCAAATATGGACTAACCCAACTGTTGGGTTAAATTTTGGTTACATTTTTAAATTAGCTTTTTAACCCAACAGTTGGGTTAGTCCATATTTGACCCAACATTGGGTTGAAACAACCCAGCATTTTTTAGAGTGTAATTTATTAAAAAACTAAAAACTAAAATTAATGTTTGAGCAAAATTCTGAATTTTTGAACTGGCTTTTTTTTCAATTTATGATTTTGGAATTTGAAAAATTCGCGTTTGGCCAATCAGCATACACTTACGTCACTGGTAGTTCCTATCGAACTGTTTTAGACCCTACTCTGAAGTAGGAGCTAATTTAGGTCCTCTAAACGGAGTTCCTATCTAAAACCATTCGTAGTTCCTGCGGTACGAACACGCCAAAAAGCGGGTACTTCCGCCAATAGTTCTAGGAACTACAAAAGGTTCCTCCGGTGTGAAAGCCCCTATAGAAGAACCATTTTTAGTTCCACAAAGAACCATTCAGTCAAAGGTTCTTTAAAGAACTATCTCTTTCTTACCTTTTTATAATCTGAAGAACCTTTTTTCACTACAAAGAGCCTTTTGTGAAACAGAAAGGTTCTTCAGATCTTAAAGGTTCTTTATGGAACCATTTAGACAAAAAAGGTTCTTCTATGTCATCGTGAAGCACCTTTATTTTTAAGAGTGTAGGTTGATTTTTTGTATAAATGTGTATTTGCTCTAAACAATTTATATTTAGTCATTTAGCAGACATTTTTATCCAAAATGACTTACAAATGAGGACAATAGAAGCAAATTAAAATCCATATGAATTTCTTGGAGTTTCATTCAACTGCATTCTGCATCTTATGTGATGCTTCAAATTCATAATTGAAATCTATCATTCTCAATTCAATTCTGAATGCCACACATCTTACTTTTACATCAGGTCCACAAAAAGCTATGCACTAGCAATCTTCTAAAACCACATGAAGAACATATGCTATGACACATAAACCCACTATATTTAAAAAGCAGTTTGGTTTCAGC